AATAATGGTCCTTACCCTCTCCCACTCACACTACCAGTGTGCAGGGGGAGCATAAACAATGGAGCTCACTTTACACTCATTTGCACTAGCAGTGTTTGGTGGGGAGGAAGTACAAGTAATGGCACTCACCAGCACCTCCAGTCTGGGAAAGAGTTCCACAAGATCCCCTGTAGTTCTGTGGTTAGGTTTAAAACCTCCAACTGGTGGCTATTTTTTTTTTGCGCCCCAGGGCAGGTGAGTCTGTATTCCAGTAACTGAGTGGTAGCCCTCTGTACTGCAGGGCTTTGATAGGGGTGGGGTTCCCTCCGTTAGCATGTATCTTTGTCCCCTGCTATTTTTATGTGGTCTTTTTATCCCTCCTTGTGTGGTAGGTGTTCACTCAGGCCTCTGCTCTTCTTTGGGATGAACTGCTCTGTGCAGGTGCAGGTTTGGTGTGTAAGTGGGTGGAGGTGGGCTCAGGCTCTTTCTACGTGGTCATCTGAACTCATCCTGGAAAATATGCCTTTACTAATGTTGTACTGTGGGTCACAGTTAAAGAAGTGCGAGTTCTTGCTGTGGAAGGTCCCAGATAGCTTCATCTGTCCCTGTATTTAAACTCTCCAGAGGAGATTCAGTAGGCTCTTAAGTGAATACCTTCATTCCTATTCATATTTTGGGGAAATATTATAGAATACCACTTTTGGCATTTCTTCATAAAGTTTTTTTCAGAAGTTACCGCAATTTGAATGTGTCTGTTGTTGAAAGGGAGGTACTAAATCAGTGACTAATATTACCAAGTGACACTACCTTTTCAACTTTTTTCATTGTTCTTTATTGTCAAACTACTACTAGAAGACTGTTGTAAATAGTCTCAGCAATGTTTGAGTTCTAAGAAGAAATACCAACTTCTCATTTTATATCAGAAAGTGATATGTGTAATTTCCTTGAAGAACAGTTTTTTTTTCCTAAATATTTTCCTTTTCTGTAACTAAAATCTAAGTGTTTTGAAGCCTAGTTTTTTTTATAGATTGTTAATTTTTATAGGATCGGGGTTCTCTATTTTCTTGGTGATATGAGTACAGGAATTGATAAGTGAGATGGAGATATTAATTTATGAAATGGAAAGTAAAACTAAGTGAGATTAATCATTTATAATCATGTGTAAGATTCATTTTAGCATGCTAAAAGGCCCAGGGCTATGTGCTATCTTTCCTCCTTCAGACCTGAAGAAGTGATTTGCAACTAATTTTGCATGCAGGCCCAGACATAAACAACATAGTAAAAGGCAGAAAGGATTCCACCTTAAAGAGAAGATTGCATTTTAACACCCAGGAAGTTGAGAAGATTCTTACTCTTTAGCAAACAATACCTCAGCCCACCTTGCGCTGTGCACGGTCTTGTTTGATATGCTCCCAGACCAAGACACCGGTATCTCGGGGAGAAATCAGAGCAGGAAGTTTTAAGTTAATTCTAAATATTCAGGGACCACTTAACAAGTCCACACCCCTAAGCCTTTTTTCATGTTCCCCCAAATCCTCAACTGCCTATAAAACCCCCAGACAACGTACCACTACAGGCTCTCTTGTCCCCTCCTGGCACAAGCTGGGAGCTCTGTCCTCTCAATAAAAGCCTCTCCCTGACTCTCCTACAAAAAAACCCCCCAAAAAACAAACAAACAAAAAAACTAAGTGAGATTAAGTTATATTTAAACTGTCCTGGAATTAGTAAATAAAGCTTTTAGGCTCCCTTTCCCTATTTTATACCACTTAATTTCACAGGGTCTAGAGTTTCTTATGGGATTTCTTTTTTTTTTAATGCTGGAAAATACTCTCATTTAAATGAGTACCATCATTTAAGCTTTGAGTATGTGGTGGTAATCACCTGACTTCTGCAATAGTGTTAGCAAATTCTTGATGTTTCTCACTTTTGTGGTTTATTTTGCCATTGTAGCTTTATAAACTGTGCTATTTATATCCAATTCCACTTAATAGAGTTCTCTCTTGAAAGCAGTGCAGGGAGGAAGGAGAGTGAGTGAGGACTTGTTTCTTGGTTATAAGCTCTATAATGGAATAATTGTTTAAATCTAGAAAGACAGTAAAGGCAAATTGTCTCCCATAGGACATCCTTAAACTGTAATCTGTTGTGAGAGTTACTTCTCCCAGAGACTTGCTTTAAGCTGTGTGGCTTCTGTAGTTACTATGCATGTATTAGGTTTGCTCTCCTTTCAGGGTAAACCTTTTTGTAAGCTGGCCTTTATGGTATCTCAGGCATGTAAGCTCTGAATTCCACTTGAGTTATTTCCTTTGAGATGCCCAGACTTTTTTTTAAATGTGACTTTAAGGAGGAAGGAAATGATTCTGATGTTTGGTAGGTGATATTTGGTCAGAGAAGGGGAGACCACAAATGATGAGGAATTGGTAGAATCGGAGTTTCTTAAGTCCTGTTTTAGTATTCTGGCCTTTGAGTTTCCTCTCCTAGAGGACTTTGCAAATGCAGTTCTCCAGGAAACCAGCTTTAGGGCTGTGGATAGGAAGATTTCAATCCTTTCAGACCGCTACAGTATATGGGAGGGGTGAGGAGGGCTGACGCATGTGCCTTCCATACAAACCCAAGAGGAAAGACATATATGCCCTCTAACTTCAGATTCCAAAAACTTGGTGTTTGTTAGACTGTCCTTTCTGACCTAGTACATTTTTTTTTTCCTTTTTAGTACGGTATTGATGGCCAGTAATGAGTTTTAGTCCCAAGACAGCATGGGCCCATATTCTGGTTCATATGGCTGTAAATGTATGGATTTGCAAATGAAAAGTTTTGTAAGGAAGCTAACATTTAGCAGAGTGAGGAGTAAAACATTTAAAGGTATCTTTTCCTAAAGCGTAAGCAGTGCAAGAGGAAATGTCTTAAGAGTATCTTTTGCCTGTTTTACTCCATCAGCAAGTTGTAGGGGTACCTAGAGAAAGCCTGTTCATGAGCTAAAACCAGAAGTGTGTTCAGGTGCACAGGATATTGGTTATGGTGGAGGAAGCCTAAGCAAAGGGAGGGGGTGCCAGACCCCTGAAAGTATGTGTGAGTTGAGTCCTCATTAGGTATTCAAAGAAGGATGACTGCTGTAAGTCTGTGGGATCATGGGAAACCACTCACATCCAGTCATTCTTATGCCATTTACTCTTCAGATAACTTTCGGCAAAGATTTTTGTCATTAAAAGAAAGCTCCACTGGAGACAGGGCACTGGATATCATTTTATAGGTAATGGGAACCTCTGAAAATTTGAAGGTGCTTATCAGTGCTTTGGGAAGATGATCTGGCAGCAGAGTGGAGGACTGGAGGACAGGTTATTGGAAACAGGAAGATTAGATAATAAGCTAGCATAGTGGACCCTAGTTGCAACTTAAAAAATTTTTTTATTAAGGTGTCATTGATATACACTCCTATGAAGGTTTCACATGAGAAACATTGTGGTTAGTACATTCACACATATCATAAAGTACCCCCCATATCCCACTGAAGTCACTGTCCATCAGTGTAGTAAGATGCCACAGAGTCACTACTTGTCTTCCCTGTGCTACACTGTCTTCCCCATACCCACCCCCCACACCATGTGTGCCAATCATAATACCCCTCAATTCCTTTCTCCCTCGCTCCCCACCCACCCTCCCCTTTGGTAACCGCTAGTCCCTCCTTGGAGTCTGTGAGTCTGCTGCTGTTTTGTTCCTTCAGTTTTGCTTCGTTGTTATACTCCACAAATGAGGGAAATCATTTGGTACTTGTCTTTCTCCGTCTGGCTTATTTCACTGAACATAATACTGTCTAGCTCCATCCATGTTTACTTGCACCTTTTTATTGTCATGGAATTTAGAAGATCATTAACAGTTCTGTAGCCAGAGTAGTGTTACGTAATCAGGTGAGATAGTGTTATAGGGATGTATTTGGTAAGTTGTAAATAAGAGATTGGTCACTGTAGTGGTGGTATCTATTCCCTTCAATATGAAGTACATTCTGTTCTCTGTCTTAATTTAGGCTTCAGGAAGAACACTGGTCTAGAGGCTGGCCCATTTATGTTCTACTTTGGCTCTACGACTAACTCTGTAACCTTGGGGAAATAAAAAAGTGAGGTGCAATTCATCTCTAATATTATTCCATACTTACAGCTTCTAGGTCTCTAACAGTATTTATTTAGTGGGGGGAGGGACAAGGACAATAGATGTATATAAGCAAAGTGATTAGTTTAAAAAATTTCAGTCATGCACAGTTGTCTCCTATGTAAATCCCACTGGTATAATTTTGTCTATGTATTGGTAACTTTGAGGAGAAAGGGTGTAAGTTATAAAAGAGTCCACTCTTCTATGATATTTAAATATTTATTTAAGTTTAAAAATAATTTTCATGGCACCAATGATTTTATGCTAACTACATACTGCATATGTAGAAAAAAAGTACATTGCTTTGAAGGAAAATGTAACAATTTTTGACACACAAAAGGTTAACTATATATATATATATTTAATGAAACTAAGAAATTCACATTTGCAGGTAGTTTACCTCCTACTGTTTAAAGATGCAGTATGCTATTCTTTAGTAACTTATATTTTCTCTGATAGATGACACTATGGAAACCATTGCTTTTCTACAATGAGAGCAAACTAATTTTGAGAGAAAATGGGAGACACAGTGGAGCACAGTAAAACCAAGTTAAAAACTTGAACAATTTTTAATGAGGGGTAGATACTAAAAAAGACTAGTCACCAGCAAAGGAGGTTTGTTATTAAAGCACTATCTGAAAAGCAAATTGAAGGAAACTTTTCTATCTGTAATTTCTGGGATAAGCCCTGGAAAAAAGTAACCTGAAAGTTTCTGTTCAGAGAGCAAAATCCAGGTTTTTGAAGTGGTGTGGACTACTGTACTGTTAGAAATCTAGACACAAGTAACATACCAGGAAATGGAATACTGAATCTTTCTTTAATGTGAATGTGAAAGGTCAGAGTCAAGGCTATCTATCACTCACTGCATAGAAACACCATATTCTACAGACTGAGGTAGGAACACTACACTAAAAGGTAATCTGCTATGTTGCATAAGACAGTAGTTATCCAGTAGATAAACCAGCCCCCATCTCCTGACAGCCTTTTCATCTCTGAGTCTACTTTTTACTTCAGTCCTGTGCTAAATAAAGCCTTCCCTGTGTAGATGACAAGTGGCAGTGGCTAGTTGGTTCCAAGTGATTAATCTTTACTAGGATCTCCATCAGTTGTCTTGTCGCTTGGTAAATAGATGTTTGTAATTCTGTCTAAATTGTTGCTGGTATGGAAATGATCAGACAGGCCCTCTTCCTTTCTTAGATTTTGGCCATGTTTTAGTACTTGATCTTGCTTGTCTTGGCACCAGACATCTCTTGGCTGGTTGGTTGTTTAAGCACCCTTTGACCAAGCAACCCCAGTGCCTCCACTGGGAAATGGTCCTGGATCTTTAACACATGTCAGGAATTAGAGTAGAGCCGACTCTCTGCTAACATATGGGTTAAGAGCAGTTTCATTGTCTAGATGGGGGTTGGCAAATTATGGCCTGTGGCAAATTCAGTTATTTCTATAAATAAACTTTAATTGGAACACAACCATGTTCCCTTGTTTATGTATTACCTATGACTGTTCTTGTGCTATGATGGCAGAGTTGAATAGTTGCCACAAAGAATAGCCCACAAAACCAAAATAAAAAAATATTTACTCTCTGGCACTTTATAGAAGTAGTTTTGTTGAACCCCCATCTATATGAAACGGCATTAAAAATTATGCAACACACCCTTGCAACCCTCCAAAATAGAAAAACCCCATTTATTCCACAGCTGTTATTTCTACATGTGGGCATGGTTCTGCTGTCCCAGAAAACAGACTAGGGGAGAGGAAATCTACAAGTGACCTATTCTGTCTCATACTTGGGGCTGTTCAACATCATAGGGTGTCAACAGCTGCTCTACTCTTTTGTGGGTCTCAGGGATATGTCTACTGACTGTCTTTAAAGAAGTCCTCATGCCCCCAGAAGACTTAGAAATCTCTTCCTGAGATGAAAACAAGACCTTGAAAGAGTGCAGAGCATCACACCTTGGACCCCACACTCACCCTTCACATGTGCTGCTGCATTAAGGATGGCAATCACTTTCCTGCTTTTATTTTCCTAGTGCAGAGGATGACCCTAGGGGGCAGTGTTTCTACACCTAAGTGTTGGTCTCTCCCACATTCACCTTCTTTCCTTTGTAGGCATCTCTTAGAACTCCTAAAGAGATTCTTTTCTTGGTCCCTTCCATGGCTGTTTATTGATCTTGTAATCTATTTTCGAGGCTTTTCATTCTCAGGATCAGTTTCTTTCTTGTATCATTTAGTTCATCAGGCTCTATTCTTAATCCATAAAGTAAAACCAAAATATGAATTGATAAGAAAATAAAATTTTGTTAAAATATAAATTGAAAATAGTCTTGTTGGGGGTAGGGGCTATACAAAATAAGTACTGCTCTCCGAATCTCAAGTCTTTCAGGTACCTAGTTCTGGTTTCTGTTAACTACAATTTGTCCAACATTTCTGACAGTCCTATCTCTGGCACCACTGAATTCATCTAACATCTCTGGAGCACTTTAAAAGTCTTGAGGTTCTTCAGGAAAAAAATTACACAAGTCTCAGTTCATTAGTTAAAGCTCAGTGGTGATACCCACTAGGATCTAGTCTAAGGGGACAGACTTAACTCACCCCTGCTGCTGCTGTAGTGGTGGTCCCTTCAGATGCCCACTCTGCTCAGATTTGAAAAAAACAAAAGAAGAAAATCCAACTCACACCATCATAAGCAACTTTCCATTTAATCATTCTACATGGATGTTTACTTTTTTAAAAGCTCTGTCTGGCAAGGAAACCTAGATAGTCCCCGTTGTCCAGTCCCCTGGCCTACCCCACTGAGGCTGCGGTGATGAGTCTACTGTAACGCAGTAGGAAAGCTGTAGAGCACAGAAGACAACAGCTCTCTAGTCTTCAACTAGTGTCCCTTCTGCTAGGTGACACTGTGATAATCAGTAATAGTAAAATAAATTATTTTTATTGATACTTTCAAAATAATACACATCTATGAAAAATCAAAATTCAGAACCAAAAGTTATCCTGCAAATTGGGAGGATGAAAAGCAGAGTCGCTGAGCCTTTCTTGAAAGAACCTCTGAAGGAGATGAGTCTTTCCAGTTTGTTTAGACAAGGCATGAGCCTATCCCTTTTTCTTCTGGAAATTGACCCTCCTAGGCTGTGAACTTTGAGTCATGAGAGGAGGACTTGGTACATGTGCCGATGGTTCCACGATGGGTCCCATTTCTGGGAATGGGTAGCCGGGCTCCTTGGTCCACCTGGCTAGTTATTAGGAGGAGTCATGCCTTCTCAGGTGTCAATGAGCAGGCTCACCACTGAGCGGATTTTGCAGGCAAACCATCGCCTGAGGGGACAAAAGTATTGATAGTGGAATTGTTCAAACTCGGGGGTCTGGCGGATATCGCGGAAAAAGGCAATGTCAAGGTCAGACTCGGTAAGGATGATCAGGAGGAGGAGCAAAACAAAGAGGAGTCCCATGGTCACAAGGAGCAAACGGAGGACACTTAAAACAAACTTATTCACCTGTTCCTCCTCTGGCTTGCCGTGGCCCTGACACAGGGCCCTCAGCTCTCCCCCAAGGGCCTCCACCTCTGCAGCAGTCGGGGTGCTGGCCTCAGACTCTTTCTCCTCTTCAATGCTGCAGGTGGCCCCATTGATCTGCCGGGAGAGCAGCATCAGCTCCAGGCTGTGCTCAGCCACAGGGGTGGGTAGCATGCTGTCTGCAGGGCTGTAGGCCTCATCCGCAATCACAGCAACCCGCTCATTGCTGTCTGCCCGGCTGCTTCTCACATGAGGCAGGAAGGTGTCCCCATGGGAGGAGGAACGCACTGGTGTGGAATGGGCACTGTCCCGTAGGGACTCGAGGCCTAGAAAGACAAAAGGAACATGAATAGGCTTTCTGTATTGCAGTAGACATTTTGCTGTGTGTTGGAGGCAGCACCCATTCTGTTTTATTTGATCCCTAAAATCCTAAGAGGAAGCCCCTTTGCACACCCCATGTGACCAGCAGCAGTGGTCACTGCATTCTGTTTTGATATATCAAGAGTAGGACAGGAGAAGCAGCAGAAATCAGAGTGGCCATAGTGGGAAGTTTTTTTTTCTCCCTTTCCTGCTTATGGTTTTGGCCAGATTTGTTAGAGTGTGCTTTTGCTGCTTTCGATGTTCTGGGCCTGGTTTTAGCTCCAATTTGAATGAGAATCTCAGCTGCAGACTATCCTTGATGCAGAGCTGGGGTCACAATTCAAGAGCTTAAGTCTGTCTCTTGGGCTGAGGGCCTTGAGAGTCAGGCATGGGGAGGGAAAGACTTTCACTTAACTGGGCCTCATCGAGTACTGACGCTGGAGCAGAGTGGCCTTCTAACAGCCTCACATGCAGCCCCTTAAGCCCAGAGGCCATCTTCTGGATCTCTGCGGTTGGGCGCTCTGTCTCCTCAGCCTTCCAGATCCAGCCGTCCTGTGTGGGCTGCAAGGATGTTACCTGCTCTTCCCAAGTGCTCTGAGTGCTCTGGGGAAGGAGGGATGTAGCACCCATTCCTACCTTAGAAGGAGCTGGCTCCAGAACAAGCTGACAGCCCCCATATCTTGAGACATTTCAGACTGCACAGTTGTCTCTGAAAAGGTCTTACTGGGTCGGGGGAAATTCTCTTACATTTGTTAGGAGAAAGGGTCTTCTGGCTCCTAAAACTACCCGTTATCATTTTACTTTCTCAGATGGAACATTTGTCTTTCCAGGGCTCAGACTTTTGTAGGGAAAACCAGAGCTGGTTACTTCCTGTACCAAACAGCAGCCACTGAAGCTGGTGGATGTGGGATCAGAGAGTGTGGCCCACATCATAGTGTTTCCAAGGGACTGGCCCCTTGGTTCAGGTTCAACACCTGCATTTTCTACTCCTGGCCATCTTGGTGGTGCCAGAGTGGCACTCTCTGCCCTTGTGCCTATGACAAGAGAAGCTAGTCCCCTTCTGTTGCTCTGAAATCAACCCTGACTGCCCCAGATTAAACCAGATTCCCAGCAAGGGTGTGTCACCTCTTCCTTGGCTCCCTTCTGATGTAGCCATTGGCTCCCAGGGACCTGCTGCCTTGCCTGCTGGGGCACGTCTCAGCACAGGCACAGTTAAGGATTCTGCAGAGGAATGGAACCTGGGATCTGCGTTATGAACCCGTGGCAGGAGTGAGGGGTGATGGCAGCCCCCTGCTACTTGCCTGTACTCTCCATTTCCTCACTCTTAGATTTGCCACAGCTCTCAGCTTTGGCTTTTAGAAGCTCCTCATGGTTCTAGCTGGATTTTGTTTGTCCCTATGCTAAAATCTTAAGTTTATATAATGACTCAAGCCTTTTAAAAGTTTAAACTTTCATTTTTGTCTTTCAACAACTCTCTGCAGCAGTGAGGGTAAGAGGGTGCAGAACGTGTCTTATCTTCAGGCCCTGATCACACATGTTGCTGGCCCAGCTCCTTTCTAACCACTCCACTGGCCCCCCTTTCTCCGGATCCTCAGCCTCTGCTGTACAGGGCCCCTCATACCCTTACAAGGGGCTGCTGCTCACAAGGGCAGCTCTGACTGCCAGATCTTGCAAAGTACGACCAGCTTAGCGGCCAGGAGCTACTTAAATGCAAGCTTAGCTTGGCTTACAGTTCAGCCTTAAGCTTGTTGGGGAATGAGACAGGCAAAGGCTGTGATACCAGAAGCCACAGTACACTGAGTTGTTGGTGATCTCAGTAAACAAGCTAATGGATATACATGCATTTGTAGTAGATTGCCTGACAACATGCTTCAGTAAATGTTAGTCTTCTGTAAAGTTATCATTCCTATGTCAGGTTAGTCCTGTATGGAACTTTGAATTTTACTAGAAACACCACCTGCCCCGCCCCTTCATCAAACCTGTTATTCTGGGATGGATAGGGTGAACACAGTGGGTGGGATCTGGGTGAGTGGCACAGCAAAACACAGGAGTGTCCTTTTTTACCTTGGAGGTGCTCCAGCTGACTGCCTTGCCGCCCAGAGGTGGCTTCCAGTGGGCCGGGGGGCACAGTGGTCAGGAGCCTACCCTGGAGCTGGGGCCCCATCCTCAGGATGCGTACACTCAGGGGCCGGAGGCAGTGATTAGTCAACCGGAGCTCAACGCGGACTCTGGTGTGAATCTTAATCAGACTCTTCCCCATGATGGCCTAGGAAGGCAGTACTTCTTCGGTGGAAACCAGCTGATTTCTTCATGGAAATCAGCCAGGCAGGGGAGATACAAAGGGAAAGATGGAAAACCAAGAGGGACAAACGATTTTTGCTCATCTCATGCCATGGCAGTCCCTTCACAGTACCTCCTGTGCTGGAGAGAGGTCGGCTCCACGAGCCTCCAAGCAGGCTGTGCTACAGGGGAGGAGCAGCTCTGAGAGGAGTTATCAGGGAGCTGGATTTAGTCAGAAGCACTTAGAGCCATAAAAAGTAATGCTTCCCTAGCTACAAGCCCATATAAGGGCCACAGACCTCTCAGAGGGTGATGGACAGGGAGGGGAGGAACAATCCCAGAATATAGGGAGAATTGGAACTGTCCTAGAAAATCCAGGATGTGAAGCTACAAGACACTGGGCTTTGAGCTGGGTGCCCTGAAGTGTGAGGTGGCAGTTCTGGGGCTGGAAAAAGGCTGTGTACCATCATCTGCTGGGCTTTCAGTATTTGGCCTCTGCAGTTGAGTGTGCTCCACAGGGCTCTGGGGGAAAGGAACCACCCTACCTGAGTGTCCTCTCTGGGTCAGGCCTAGGCTAATAATGAGTGCTATCTTGGCATCTCAGAGAGCAGAGGGCCTGGCCAACCAATGCATAGTCAACTTTTTTATCCCAGTTCATTGGGATTACATGATTTTATTCAAACTGTCATGTTAATGTTTTTGCAATTTTTCCCATTGTTTTTGGAGGTAGCAAACAAAGCTTTCCCCCTGGCAAAGGCAAATGATTTCTGTGATACTAACTTACGTGCCATATAGACTATAGGAAAGATAGTCTCTGATGGAACGTGAACCAATTTCAGATGTTCGTAACTTCCCTGGAGTTTTGGTGGTTTGTGCCCTTCCTTGGAGGCCTACATCATGTCCCTCTCAGCCCTTCCCTGCCAGGTAAGGTAGACTGAGGGTCATCTGTGTTTATTTGGTGCTTAAAAGGCAAAACACCCTCTTGAGAGATGGTGCAGCTGAACTCTTGCCTCCTGAAATAATCCATTGTTCATCTCCCAGGCTTGATAACCTTTGTATGATAGAGCCACCTAGCTGCTAAAATCTCTTCTTTTTTCCATATCCAAACCAGTTACCCGACTGCCTCTCCTTACCCTGAGCCTGTGAGTTCATCTTGTACATCTTAGTTGCTGCTACCTGTGTTGTCCTCAATCTAATGGGCCCTGGATTGAGGGCCATGACTGGGTATGGAGGCTGTGCTTGTCTGTGGGCAGCCCTGGGCATGGGGTGTGAGGAGCAGGTTGGTTTGGGGAGTAGTGCATGGGAGCATGTGGTGCTACAATCTGCCATGTGTGAAGTTCTATGAGGCTGAGATTTTGAGGATGTGCCCTGGCCTTAGGAGTCTACTCTAATAACTTCCTCAGCTGTCTTCCCCACCGTACCCATCCCTGGAATTTTTCAAGCAAGGGTGACTATTCTGGATGTTGAGGAGCCTACTGCCGTTGTGATGGGAGAAGACAGGTTCTGGGAGGAGGCCGGAGGCACAGCCAGAGCTGGTTGGGAAGTAAGACAGCCTCACAGCTTGTCTCGAGGACAGTTCTCCTTGCCTCTGAGTTGCTCCTCTACCCCTGCTTGGCAGCTACTCCAAATGAGCTGTATCCACACATGAACAGCCTCAGTTCTGTCTCTTCGGGAATGTTGGTTTTACTGGACATTCTTCCCTCTACTGGGGCAGAAAGGCATGAGACTTCTCTCCTATTTGATACCTGCATTAATGCTAGCTTTCCCAGGTGGCCCTTTCTCTGAGAAGGCAGCTGTCCTGACTTTCTACAGGAGATCTGGGAGGAACCTGGTGGCGTCCACCTCAGGATGAATGGGAAGAAGGGCCACAGAGAGGGGAGAAGGTTATGTGTCCTCAAAAGAGAAGAAATTCATTTCACTTTCCTGAACTGAACACCCCAAAAGAAGAGGGACAGCAAGAGCTGTGCTCAGTTCTCCTGCTCATCTTTAAACAGGAGACAAAACCAGGAGGCTGTGTCTGATGACAGTCAAACCTCAGTTACTCCACACCTGGTATAGTGACTATACTTGGTAGTTTACTGGGCACCCTCCCACACCCACACCCCACTCTATAGTGGAGCCATCAGCCACAGAGGGGTCAAATAACCTGCCCCAGAAGTGCATGATAGAACTCCGATTTGAACTTCATCTTTGACTTCCGTAGCAGGGCTCTTTGCCTGTAGTTGCTGCTTGCATAGTGAATGCTTTAATCTCTTTAAAGTACTTCTGCACACATAAGCTTACAACCTATGGGGTAGGCAAGAAAGATGACTGTTTTACAAATGGAGCAGCAAAGATACCCAGATAATCAAGGCCCCTGATGGTGGTTGCCCAGCTAGGGTTCTCAATCCCTTGACTCTCTGTAGTTATGTGCCATCCTCAGGTCATGCAGTCAGTGGCAAAACATAAAACCCTAAACACAAATTTGAGATCCTCCTAGGGGAACAGCCCAGCTCTGTCCTTCCTAACATGAGTGGTTCTATTTTCAAAAATAAGCAGCATTCCCACAGAAAGGGCAGAGGGCCGTCCCTCCCCAGTCTCCAGGACAGAGACAGGTTTGAAGCAATCCTGCTGCGGTTTCCTGCTGCTTGAGATCTTCTAAGATCCTATCAAAGCATCATCTTCAGGAATGAAGCACTCAACTTGACCTGTATCCAGCCTGCAGGGCAAGCTGGCTCAGTGACAGAAGCTGGGGGGTGATACTCTGATTCTCCTGACAGTATGAACTACTCGGAGAGGTATCAGCCTCAGCAACAGGGACATCTAGTTCAGTGAAAATGTACTGACTTTGTCTTCCTACCTCTCCCTCTTCCAAAGGGAGGGAAGGGTAGAGGGAGATGCGGCATATTGGGTTTTCTGAGACAATGTTCAAGAATTTACATAACAAGAGGACAGATTTCTGCAACTTCTACAACAGAAGTAGGAGAAGGTGAAGGCTATTAAAATGTGTCAGAAAAAAGAGTTTTCATTTCTTGATTAACTGCCTCAGACACCCTGATCATTAAGCTGAGGAAAGTGGTCAGAAAACAAGTGAAAAGCCTCTTGATGGAAATCAATTTTAGAACTGTATGGAACCTGGTAGATCCTACCTGTGCCATCCCCCAGAGGTTTACCCCAAAACTCTCAGATCTATAACCCCTTCCTGGACTCCAGCTCAGCAGGGCTGGGTGGGATTCCCCTTCACCTGACATCCAGATGGCGTTCCATCCACTGCATGAAACTTGCTGTCTCTGATGCAAATTCACTTCTTTTCAAGGTCTCTGAGAGGATCTGGCCCAAGTCACAACTTGGAGGAACCCTGTGTGTGGGCACCTCCAGAGCTCTGCTTACCTTCCATGATGGAGATGTGAACAGCTCTTCTCCGGGTCCTGGGGACGCTGCTCAGCCTTGGGCCATGCGTTATGGAGGGACAGCTGCGGCTGGGAACCATCCCTGCTCTGAGGTTCAAGAAAAAGAGAAATGTTAACTCAGTGCACAGACAGATGTGGTCAGGGCTCAGAGTTGAGGAGTGGCTACTAGAATTGTATGGCTGTTAAGTTTTATTTTATTTATTTAAAAAATCTTAAAATACCTGCTTTTTGCCTTTGGTCCCTAGATCTTAGAGACACTGCTTCAAACTCATCCACCTTCTTCTATCCCAGACCCACCTGAAACTTCCTTTAGTGCAGCAATGATACCATTGGTCTCTGAATTGTTAGGGAGTAGAGCTCCAGGATAAGTCATACTCCTGAAAATATGCCTTAAAATTGATCTGGCATCCTCCCCTGAGTTCTGACAGAGGTTGCTGGTGGCAGGTGGTGCCATGTGAAAAAGCAGGCAGTAATTCTTTCATTCCCAGAGGTCAGGCTGGTTGGTGAACCCTAACCCTCTTGGCCAGTCATACTCTTTTTGATTCTAATCTCCTAGAAAGGAAATGGGCTTCTTGAAATGCATGATTTATAATTATACATGAAAGCATGGATTCTGAACCTATTGTAGACCTTGTGTTACATGCTGTGGGGCTATCCCTGGCTTCCTGTATTGGACCGATTCAACAAGCAAGAAAATCTTGCTGCTTGGACATGGCCTCCATGGTCTATGACCTATTTCAGGCCTTGGGAGGACAGCAGAGAATTAAATACTCAGGAAGGTGGCTCCTGGGTCTGATGGACTGTCTATATTAGCCTGCCCTCCCCTGTTCTCCATCAAGGCTCAAGGGTCAGATTGTTCCCCATGCCTTAGTTTAGATGGGTCTCTTCATCCTCCTGCCCTGCTCCTCCCCTTTTGGGAGCCATTGTGGCCAGAATCTTCACAGACTTAAAACTACTGCCTCTTTTGAGAATCTAGAATCTGAGCAGGAACTGGTTTTGGGGGAAGCCTCTGGCATACTACCTGTGTATTTCTGGTGGCTCCCGTTTGATCTTGGCACTCGACTCCATTACTTCCTTTGCAACTCGGCCACTGTAAATAGTATAATAAAACAAGCAGAAGAAATGAGACAGTGTTCCAGGACTGGGCACCTCTCCAAGATCTCAGATACTTCGGATGAGCTGGGAAATGGCCTCTTTGGCCTACCCCTTCCAATGTTTAGGTCACTGAGAGGCTTGCTGGGATAGAGTTCTAAGATGTCCTGATAGTTTGTCTTAGCACTTTATCTCTGGAGTCTTTGGGATCTTCCATTCTCATTTAGGAATGATTCCTCATTGTCCAGCATGTTCCAAAAATATTGCAAAAAGAGATCTTTAGACAGACATGAAAAAAACCACCATTACATTTCATTTGGCTGCTGCTGTTAGGATAGGAGGAGAAAATAACATATTTTAAACCCTACAAACAGCGGCAGGGAAGGAAAGAAACAGTAAAAGGGGTTAGGAGACAGGAGAATTAGATAGAAACCTCATGCTTTTCTGGAGTCTCCCAGTTTGTTTGTTCTCAAGGGTAAGGATCACTGAGCCACTGTTCTCCAGAGAAGGGTCTGAAAATGGGTCCATAATGGTTACTTACTGTCACTATTTACCTGTATCGGAACCGGCTCCCTTTAAAGAATAAATTGCTGCTGGACACTGTGCGGACTTGGCTTGACTTCTCCAGCCTGCAGCAAGGCAAAGTCCAGTGTGACACATGGCCTGCAACTGCCCCCCAGGCTAAGGCCGTGCATTCCTAGCTCCTTCCAAAGGCTACTTGTGGAAACACTTCAGGAAAAGGCCCTTCACAGCCCCGCTTGTCTCTGACTCTCCTTTAGGACCCAAGGGCTGTGTTCAGCAATCATGCTGAAACCACTTCCTTGTCAGGAGAGTGAGGGCTCCCTAAGAGTGCTTATTGGGGTTCACCAGGAGGACTGACAGAACAAACGTTAGGGATGATGGTCTGGAGGAATACTAGAATTCCATCCACTAAATCTCAGCCAGGCAACTTACTAGCTGTTTGACCATGGACAAATTTCTTTTCCTCTTAGCCTCAGTCTTCTTATCTATAAAATGATGGAGCTGGGATGACTTGCCCTCAGGAGTCCCTTCCAGTTCTAGTATTTGATGATTCATGTTCATGTCTGGGTAATTGTGGGTGTAGAAGAGGACATCTCCCTCCTGGAGAGTCCTAAAGTATATTATTATATTAAAAAGGAGTCCTGAAATGAAATTAGCTTAACTTTAATAATAAAGTTCATTGTTTATTTGAGCTTGAGACCATTCCTCCTCCCCGATAATGCCTGTTAACATCACTTCAAGGCCGTAGGCAGCTCATATGGATACTCTGGAAGGTATGGGCACTATAAAATATCTCCTGGGTGACCTCTCTGATCCCTTAGTCCTCTCACACTTAGAAAAGGATGCTTGGACAGAGCTGCCCAGAGAGAAGCCTCCCATCCCAAGACTTGACGCAGCTCACAACATGCTCCAGGTACCTGCAGTGCTAATCCAGCCAGGAACTGATTTGGGTCTGAAGCTGTAGTTTTGAGTGGGCAGTGAATATTTAGGGAGCTGTGCCCACAAGCCATCAACATCAGTTCTGGGGAGACACCATCCCCACCTGTGTCAGGGCTCTTTGAGGCTCTGAGCCTGCTTGTCCTCCCGCCCTAGCATGTTCTTGAGTCTGACCCAGCTCCCTTCAAAGCACTAGGCCAAAGGCGGGGCCAGGGATCTGCACAGGAGAGATTCTCAGAGTGAGGCCAAAGCGACTACTGCTAGAGACCTGGTAGAACTCGGGACCTGATCTAGGCTAGAGGCTTTTAACAATTAACATTAAGTAGTCAATGGAAAAACAGTAAAAAACAGAAACTGTGTTTGGTCACAAGTTCAGAAGCAAACTTCTGTTCCTGTGACACAGATGGAAAAAGAAAGGCCTCCAGAATGGTGCTGAAATATTTTCTTGGCTTTCACTGAACATCTGGGGACTGAACAGAAGGGAAATGTGACCATGTGAAAGTCTCTTCCAAGTGTCCTCTGCCTCGTTAGAAGAAAGAAGCCCACTCGGGTTAGAATTCTGCCTGCCCATTCAGCTCATCCCTGGTTCTGGTATCAGATGCACAGAAATTGTTAAGCAGTTCTGAAAGCCTATCCAAGAGACAGTTTCTGGGGCTGTGGCCCCAGTAACAGGAAAGAGACCAGTTCTGGCCAGCACACATAGCAGCCAGCAGGTAGCAGAGTCTGTTCACTAGGGAGGAGGATGGTGCCCCTCCACCCCAGAGCAGTTCTCTCACTAGGCTCCTTCAGGTTACTGGAGGGAGAACTATGGCCTGTGGGGGGCAGAGTGTACCACACACACCGTCTCTTGTCCTCATTGCAGCCTGTTTTAAAAACAAGACCAAGGGTTTCAGTGAACATACGTTATCTGGCATCACCCCAGTTTCTTGCTCGGCTTTTTCTTTGCTCCCTAATGCTTTTATAACTACTTTCTTAATCAAAGAAAACTGAGTACAAAAGTCTCATACTTTACAGAATTCTTTTGGAAGCTAAGTTCTTGCCTTTGGTCCAAAGCTGGTTTCTCAGTAACAGACAAGTCCTTGCCCCCTCCAGCTACCCCACCCAGGCTCCCCAGCACTTGGCCTGTCACTGGCAATGTCTCTGGCAGTGACACATGAGGAAGGGCTGGCATCAGTCCCAGCTCAATGCCAGGCCATCCACTGGGGAGTGGACCCCAGTCTCTCTCCAAGCCCTTGAAAGCTGCTCTAGCTGCACCTGCCCCTTCACGGAGCTTTTGTATGCTGGGCCTCCCAGGGCTCCGGACGGCTCCACAGGATCAGCTTGATTCAAGTCAGACACCCATGGATTTTTTCTGGCCCTTGCCTCACCCTAAAAAGACCCAGAACTGCTTTGCCACTGAAGGCTGTCCAAGGACATGGCAAGGCAGACCCTTTGGGAACTCTGCTGAAACACATGTCCAGGCCACGGTTCTCTCCATCCACAGGGTACAGACCTTGGAAAGGGGTCTGAATTTTATAAGGAAGCCCAGCTTTTTAATCTCATGCCCCCTTTCTCAGACTTTCTTAAAGTTTCCTGCTTTTATGTAGCCTTTATGACTTTGGTGTTGATAAAGAGCCCCCATTGCACATGTCCACTCACTTGTAGAAGGCTTGGTTCTCGATTCCACATTTCCAGAGGTGCTTGCAGGCTTCTGGAGTTGGAGCAAAATATGTGAGAATAATTTTCTTTTCCTACAAAAAATCCCACATAAAAATAGCTGAGTGTGGATGGAGAAGTAAAGGGTGAAGTAGGCCAGGACACTGAGCTCTGAACTGACAGCATGACTCTCAGGGAGAGACTTCAGACGGGGAAGGGGTGGCCTGGTGGCTGGCTGGTTGGAAGAGAAGGCCTGCAGGACCTGTTTGGGTGGAGCTCAGCTCAGGGCAGAAGCTGATACCTGGCAGGCCCAGTTAGAGTTGGTCTCAGCTGGTACAGATTGAGTACCAGCTCACCAGAGAAAGTGGCACTCCCATCTGGAATTTTAGTCTTTTTTTGTATTTATTATCCTCTTGGATGTTTCATATGGAAACAAGAGAATCTAAATTTTTTTTTGTATCATTAATCTACAATTACATGAAGGACATCATGTTTGCTAGGCTCCCCCTTCACCAAGTCAAGAGAATCTAATTTTGACCACATTTCTTGGAGGTATGGAACCTCTGGGTATAACCAGCATCCTTGAGGAAGTCCTATGCTCCAGGGCCTAGCTTCCTCTCCATCCCTCACCTCCAGGTCTTGACCTTGGTCTTGGCTTATCATGCAGGTAGCTTAGCTCTACCTGGATGAACCTCTTTGGTTCAGCCCTGGCCATCAGGAACCACCCCAGTGCCCCAGCCTTCCCTGAAGAGAAGGAAGCTAGCACTCACCTCTTTCTGACTTACATATAAATAGAAAGTCTTTCCTTCAAATTTCAGCTTGGTCACCTCATTCCTAGAAGCACAAAGAGAGCCCCTGTCACCTTATTGTGTGGGCTGCTTGTTCACAGCTAAGTCTTGTAGATGCATAGCCCACCCTGATTGGAAGGGGCTCCAGGCACAGACACAGTTTTAGCCAAAATCAGAACTGAAACAAGACAGCAGCGCAGTGGTCTTAGAGAACGGTTGCTGAAACAGTTCAATCCACAGTTTTCTGGTCAACCACACCATAATAATAGGGTGATAGGAGGGTTTCGGGCTCATCAACAGTGGCTATAAAAGGGACACATTTGCATGGGAAGTGAATCTAGGTAGAGTGGTCCTGGGCCATTTCAGGATTTGGTTCATAACAGGTGCATTATCTGGATGGGACTGTCAAATGTAAGATGCCACAGGCAGCTGATGAGGCCAAAGTTGAAAATACAGCAAATAATGAAAAACAGTGCAACCAGGTTCTGAGGGAGTTGAGTCTTTCAGGTGACTGTGCCACTGGATGGAAATGCAGTTTAATGCAGACAAATGTCAAACGATCTCAGGGAGGGGGGCAGGGCAACATACCAAAGAGAGAGAACAGATTACATGGAACAGTCATGCAGCGTACTGACCAGGAAAGGGGCTTAGGGGTTTTTGTTGAAAAATCCTTGAAGCCACCAGCCCAGTGAATGGCTGCAGTAAAAGAGGCAAACAGGATACTGGGGTACGTTACCCGCGGGACAGACACAAATCAGAAGTGACATGGTTACTGTATATGGCACGGCCTAGACCTCACCTCCACATACTGCTCTCAGCCTTGGTTACATTTACAAAATGGAAAAATGACCAGGTTCATAGGTGGATGTCCCTGAAAGCCAGAGAACTAGGCCTCAGCATTGGTCTCTCCTCATTTCCCTTCCCTTTCCCTGACACACAGCTGCGCTCTGGAGACTGAAGGCCTTCCCACCTCACTGGGGGTGGAGTCCTTATTTCTGCACCCATCTGGGACCCCTGAGGAGGTCTGACCATGCATAACCGCCTCTATTTCGCTTCTAACTCTTGGCAGTTTCTAGGGATATTTCCTCAATATCCTAAGAAGCAGGAACTGTGTACCCAAATCACTAGTGGACAGAACTCAGGGGAAAAGGAGGGTCACTTACTCCCTGGAAATCATGGCTGGGTTAGGTTGAGAGTTACAACCTCTCATCACCAGTTCTGAGCTAAAACAAGCTACATGGTATTCCTTCCCTGTTTGACTCCATCCCAGTGAATCACTCTCTCACACACACACAACACAGTAAATATCAATTGATTAATATATAAACAAACTCACAGATAATCTCGACTTCAACAAGCAAGATAGGAAAGTAAGGAGTTTTCTATTGGAAGTGAGATTGGGTTTACATTTAATATTTTAAGGTTGAGACATAGTGAAGAGACTTCCTGACAAGGCAGGTCTTGAGAGAAGCCACAGAATGAAAAAGGTCTGAGAGAACGGGGTGAGCATCAGGGCTTCTGGAGGGTGGGGATGGTTTGGGGACTGCAGGTCCCTGTAACACAGGTGTGTCCTACTCCTTTCGAGCTAGACATGCCCTCTGCCAGTGCAGGCCAGGATCTGGGCCACAAAGGGACCCCCAGAGAAGCCAGCTGCATCCGGGCAGCAAATGGGCCTCACTGGGAGAAGGGTGGCCTGATCCTGCTCATCCCCTTCTTCTGAGAAGTATTCTGTCAGACAGGAGACCCCAAACCCTTCCATCTTCAACTGAAGAACCCAGTGAGTGTGCCAACTTGAGTTGGCCATGCACACAGGTGTGGGGGGCTGCACTGGTCACTCACTCAGTGCAGCAGGCTGCCTTGTGAAGTGGCTGTTTTCCCGGGGAATGGGATCCAGCTGGGCATGACTGAGGGCCGTTTCACTAGCGTTCTGGTTAGTCATCACAAGAGCAGTAAGGGTTGGAAAGGTGGTATTTGTCCACAAGCTCAGTGGGGAGGCTGAAGAGGCCATAGGAGGACAGATGCAGTGCAGCACTCCCAGCAGAGAGCTCACCAGGGAGCACCTCTCTCCTTGGATTCCTCATTGCCTCCTCTGGAGAAGGCAAAGGAACCAAGGCAGGAGCAGGTGTCCCCAGCTGAGCTCTGCTGGACCAAAGAAAGCCACTTGTCCAAGCCCATGGGAGGAGGTGGCCAGCTTAGATTTGGCAGGCTAAGGTCCAGGAAGGTACAGAAATCACAGGGGCTTAGTAAAATATGCAACGTGTTCTGATGAGGCTGAAAGACTTTTGCACAGGCCAGGGAAGGGGTCTCCAGGAAAGCAAATGTCCATCAACAAACCAAAGTCTTTGCTGCATCAGCCACCAGAGCCTTGCAGCAGAGCAGCCCCTAAACAGATGGGGTGGGGTGGACATAGTTCAGATAGCTTCAGCTGAGGCAGTGGGAGTGGGAGGAAAGAGCAGGGATATGACTCCTGGCAGCTGAGGACACCGAAGCCCTAAAGGGCGATGAGAGAGAAAGCAGCATCTGTGTTCTTGCAGGCCGTGCCCACAGTGGGGGTTGGCCCGAGGATGGTGTTTTGCCAGAGCAACAGGGCGACTTACATTTGCCCCAGGGGTGGCTGTGGGCCATCCTTTGCTAGGAGAGTGGGTAAGGGAGTAAGCATCCATACAGATGTTGTGGCTTTCAGGGGGAACAGACCCAAGGACTCAGGTCTCATGGAAACTTGCTTCCCTAACATTGGCTCCAGCCCCAGGCCTCTCACACTACCCAGAAATCAACTCATCACACACTGTCTCTCTGGAGAGGCTGTTAGGTCTCAGGAACACCCCTGTGGAAGAATAGGATCCCTAGGAAGAGACCACTACCTTCATCAGCTACCATCATAGATGCAAGGCTTTGGAGAGGGCTCAGAACCGCAAGTGCCCAGCCACAGACAAAGGCATGGGAACCATTACCCTCCCCAGCTGGTGAGGCATAAAAAGCCCATTTTGGAAGTGAAGATACTCACCATTTAATGAAATGGACCCTCTTGTTTCCTTGCAGAACAACAAACCCAAAAGGAGTGAAAGCCAGAAATGCAGCATTTCCTGACACATCCTGCAACATAGAAAGACTTCTTGTCAGGGTGTGCAGGCATTGAGGTGAAATGGTGAGAAATGCAGTTTACTGGTGATATAGCCTGAATATGGGCAGTAGGCCAGAGAGGAAAGAACATTTGGAAGTAACAGCCAAGTTACTTACCTTCCCTGAGTCTTAGTGCCCTTAACAGTAAGTTCTAGATTATAATGATGTTAATCTTAGAAGGCTGTTGTGAACATCCACAGAGAATGGCAAACCCATTGCTGGTGGGATTGTAAAATGGTGCAGTCACTTTGGAAAACAGTTTGGAAGTTCTTTAAATTGTTAAACATAGAGCTACCATTTAACCCAACAATTTCACCTCTAGGTATGTATGCAAGAGAAGTGGGTACACAGAAACTTGTACATGAATGCTCACAGCAGTACTATTCATAACAGCCAAGAAAGTAGAAACAATCCAAATATCCATCAACTAAAAAAATGAATAAACAAATGTGGTACATCCATACAATGGAGTATTATTCAGTACTGATGCATGCTACAACATGGATGAACCTCGAAAACATTATGCTAAATAAAAGAAGCCAGACACAAATGATCACATGGTACATGATTCCATTTATTTTTAATGTTCAGAATAGGCAAATCCATACAAACAAAAGGCTTACTGGTTGCTAGGAGATGGGGAGTGACGGCTAATAGGATTTTTTTTTTTTGGTGAAAATGTACAATTAGGTAATGGTGAGGTCACATAATAGTAAATATACTAAAAACCATGAATTTTACACTTTAAAAGGATGAATTTATGACTTGTGAATAATGTCTCAGAAAAAGCTGTTATCAGAGAGAGAAAGAATGGCAGTTAGTATTATCATGATGGTCCTACACACTAGGTTCCCTCAGGAAAGTTTAGCTGAAGAAGATAAGAAGCAACTAGCCCCGTGGAATAGCCGTCACCAGTTCTATGGTGCCTGAACCAGCAAAGAGACCTGCTGGTCATCTGGCTCCATCAGTTTATAAACACCACACTTGGGATTCTTCTGAGCAAAGAGGAGAGAAGGTTCAGCAGAAGCTGTAGGTCATGGTTCACTCATGGGAAAATGCGCTTCATGAGGATGGGTGCAGAAAGCTGGTTGGTGGATTATTCTTTTGCAGAGGATCACCATGATAGGGGCCTCAGGTGAGAAACTGCTCTGTCTGGGTTGTGAGCATTTTTGGGTGGCCAGAAATATGCCAAGATGCTGGTCAAATGTACATGCTGGACAGTTGCCTGGGCCATAGCTCAGACGGTGTCATGGGATCAAGGTCAGGCACCTGGCAGGAGGCATGTGAGTGGGGGTAGTAGCTGTCGGGCTCTCCTAGTCTCTCTAATCTTCAGGGTTTGTCTCTCTTGCACAAATCACTAGCCTGATTAGTCCTAAGAACGTGGTGGGGGGTGCTCTGCAGGGCCTCCATGAGCCTTGCCTCAAGGAAAAATGCAGTTTTGCTTGAAAAGTCTCTTAGAATCAGGTTACAGGTGTGAGCATCTGTAACAACAAGGAATAAACTATATGTTTTGCAAACATTTCCAATCAGTGTATTGTTAATTGTCTTTTTCTCAGGGTCTGTCTTGATCCTGATACTTGGCTGCGAGCACAATGTCACTGAACTCGTGGACAAAGCAAAAGGCCGTTCAAAAATAACCTGAGTGGAGATACTGTGAAGCCATGGAGCTGGTTTTTTTCTTGCCTGTCATCAGTGCTTGGTGGTGGAGGTGAATACCTGAGCACCAGCACTGCACACAGACATGGTCCCCAGCAGGGGACACCAGCACTGATTGGGAAGGTTGACAGGGATATGGGTCAGGGCAGGCTGGTCTCTGGAGGGAGAATGCCCAGGAGGGGTGCAGAAGTGAGGGCTCTGCTTGTAGGGAGACGGCCTGCCTTGGACAGAGGGTGGGAACTGAGCAGACTTCTGACCGACCCAAGAAGTCCTAAAACTGTAGGTTTAGAAAGACAGAGACTTGAGGGTGGAGACCTTGCTTTATTTGTGCTCACAGAGAAGGCCCACAGGAAGTATTTCTAGACAATGAGCTGGGCCAGAGGAAGCATGTGGCTGCAGTGGGGGGAGTATATATATGAGCAGAAAACCAGAGGGGAAGGCATAGGTGGGGCAGAGGCAAGGTGTCTTACAGTGATCTCAGGGAGGAAAGACCTAGAAGGAGGTATAGGTAGGAGGACGAAATGAAAGGCTGGGCCTGCAGAGGACTAGATGGCTTGAAATTACAGTAAAGATCCAGGAAGGGAAGTAGTGGGGGAGGCAGGGAAGGTCCTCCCTCTGTTCCTTTGCACCTCTGACCCCTGTGGGCTGTAACCACGGTGACAGGGGCTCTAAGTCAGACCACACAGGCCCAGACTCTGGTTCTGCCACTCACTGCCCATGTGACCTCAGCCAGATCTCTTCACTTCTTGGTACTTCAGACTCCTCGTATTAGTAGGGTTGATGATACTATCTACCTCTTAGGTTGTGTTCAGTAGGCACCCAATACATGATAGTGGTTGTGTTGTTAATATTATTTTAGCTGCTACTAAAATTGACTGAGTTTCTTTTTAACTTAATATAAGATCATTTTTAAGAAAACCTACCATTTTACTATTTTTCCTGATGTTTGCAGATTTAAATTTCACGAGTTAGGAAATGAGCTAGTTAGGGAAGTTGGGGTAGAAAAGAAGTCACTTCTTGTTAGGAGACCATAGAGAAGGCGGATGTGGGTGATACATTTGGGGTTAAAGTCAAGTGGGCAGAGGGGAAGGAGACAGAGGCTGTGACAGCAATCTGCCCAAGTCATCTCAGTGACAGGCCTCTCTGGCCAGAGCAAAGGGAAGAGAAGGTCCTTCCGTGATCTGGGCAGTACAGGTTACTTATTGGCACTGTCTCTCTGAATCGGAAGACACCTCAGGATTGGCTTCCAGATGAAGGCAGGTGTTGGAATTAGAGGGGCACAGCCTCCCCTGCCTAGACTGGCTGATTCGGAACAGGGACTAAATTCCAAATAGATGCCACAGCATTCGAGTAAGTAATAGCATCTCGAGCACTCCCCGTCCAGGCTCAGATGAAGAGAGCGAGTCTCCAAACTGCCTCCAGACCAGCAGCTGTATGGCCTGGTCCCTGGGCCTCCACAGGGGCGGAGGGCAGCTGGAAGGTCTGCTGCTTGTCTGTGGCACGTGAGGAGTGGGACTTGGAATTACAGCAAGAAACCTCATATCTGCACCAGCATGAAAACACAAACAGCAACTGACAGCGTCTTTGGCACTTTACCAGTTTCTTCTATCTAACATTCCTTCTATCTAACCTGTCATTCTCATTGTGAGCTGCCCTTGGGATCTGTGTGTGAAAGGACAAGTCATGTGACAAAAAGAGGAGGAAATGAGGACGAGGGGAGGAGTGACAGAGATAGCAGTGACCTCTTCCTCAGATCTTGCATCTTACCAAGCTGGAGTCCACCTTTCTTCCTGGTCCCCTTCTCATCCCCATGAAACCAGTACCCACAGAACCGAGTCATTAATGGATCCGGGAAGTGGAATAAAAACTCAGGTCCTGACAGCCCCACAGCGAATACTGCCAGCCCCACACTACATCAAACAACAGTTATAAGAATTGAGTTTACTTCTACAGTTGTGAGGTAAAAATTTGTTTTCGTTTTCTCATCCTCGTGGAAAGAGCTTTAGTCTTGGTTTGTGACCCCAGCTCTGCTTCTTACTTGATCTATGACTTACGTAACTTCTCAGCCTCAGTTTCCTCATTTGTGAAATTAGAACAATGATGCATACTTCAAGAAATACTATTTCCATCTGCCTTTAGGGAGATGGCCTAAGTGACTTCCTGTCTGAACATGGCCAGTGGTGTTTCCCTTCAAGGCAGGGTAGCCTGGCACCAAGTCACTCGTGTTCATCTGGAACCCGCCGTCAGACTTGGCCCGCATCATCAAAGGTTCCCTCTAAGATGATTACTCTGCCCAGAAAAGGAGATCTGGAAATCACAGTACTGACTGGTTCTTAGCAGTAGATAAGTCTGGCCACCTTTGCCCAGTCCTCATACATTTCACCTCCAGACACAGTTAAGTAGGCTTCTGTCTGCTGCCACCCAAGGGGACATCCCAGGTGTGATAGTCAGGACCATGGCATTCTTGGTTGTTATGCCTCAGGGTCATCCAGTTCCCTCTCTGAAGCATGACTTAAACTAATCCAACCTGGGTACATAAAGCCTCTATTACTCTTAAAAAAACCTTAGGGAAGAAGTCTGCACATGCTCTTCCAGAAACTTACGCCCATGCCTGAAAGGGCTCACAGCTGGGAACCATCACCTTAAGTCATTGAAGGAAATCACCCTGCTCCAATATACTTAGACCTGGCCGCAAGAAGCCAGAATGGAGAAGAGGAGGAGGCAGCACCCCATAAGAGGCTTAGCGCCACCCGTGACAGCTCAGAAAGTGGAAATCTTGGCAGAAACTTGCCACCCAAGGAGCTGTAGTCAGGTTCTTCATTTTAGCAGTGAACTTAGCACCTCCCCACAGCACAGACAAGAGGCTCTCGCCTGAGGATGAGGTGATCCTTCCTGTCCTGTTTCTGAGGTCAGGGGCAACTTGTCAGTTTGGGAAGAGAGGTTTACATAGTGAAGAGCCTAAGTGGCTGGATTATGAAAGTAATGACCCTATTTTAAGGACAGAGTTATGACGCTCCTAATTTTATTTTGTGTGGTTGATCTAACCTAGATCTTGCCAAAATCAGTTTTCTTCTGTTTTATACAGAACTAAAGATTTAAAGCTACTTGGTGAACACACATGAAACTTTTATATGATGATTTCAGTTGCCCCACAGGTCTTTGTCCTCTATCAGAATTGGCAGTGAGTCCTGCTTTGTTCTTAAATAAATGCCATCTCTCCAGAAGGAAGACCACGAATGATAACTGAGAGCATAGCATTGAGACGCAGATGACTCTGGGTCTGAGTCCGAGTACTGTCCTTACCAGTGACTCTGGACATGGCAGTCAGTCCCTCAGAGGCTCAGGGTTTTTATCTTAAAAAGAGGACAAGAACATCTTGGCAGTGCTACTGTAAAGATGAAATGTAAGTGCCTGGCATATGTAGCTGGCTTTCAATAAATGGCAGCTTCAGGACTCACAGTAACGTGGGGTCCATAATAAGCTGGGCACCTGTGACAGGCCTGACCTCCATAAACCTACTAGGGCAGGAGGCCAGTCTGGGGCTGCGGGAAAGCCGGGGCCCCCTGGAAGGAACAAGATGGTGGCCCCTGTGGCTGGAGAGGTGTCAGGGCCGAGAACAGGGGCAACACCGGCATGTCAGTGGTTCGCTCTCCTCCTCTGCTCCAGTAGTTGTAGGCTTGGGATGCTGGGCATCCTGCTGGGAGTTGGGGGTTGAGGGGAGATGCAGAGAGCTCACAACAGCATTTCAAGTTCAGAGTTTGTCAGCCAGCTAGCTACTGAAGCCCCTCTGGCTGCCCCCCCACCCCCAGAATTGGTGGGATCTCTTCTTGGTCCCAGGGCCAGACAAGGACACACTGCACAGAAAGAAAGCATCAGTGTGGACAGAAAGAACAGCAGCTTCTTAATCAGTCCAGGAAAACAGAGCCCAGCTGAAGTGGTCTGCTCTCATTTAATTATCAAAACGATTCCTCTTCTTCTGTCCTCCCTAGGGCTGTGTGCCCCAGATTCCCTGGGCCCAGTAATTGCCTCTCTGTTAATAGAAATAATCAGTATTTATTACACAAAGTGCTCCAGCTTATCTCAGCTCTCCTTGTAGCAACATTAAGGCGAGTGCTCCGTAGCATATCACCGACGTGACTACTTAATGACAAGAGTAAAGGCTCCCGAACTGCTCCCCCTGCTCAGGAAGGCTGAGGAAATCCTGAGCCAGAGCCCAGTGAGATGAGCGGAGGGGCCACGGGTGGGGTCCGCAGCAGAGCCCTGCTGAGCAAGAAGTATGGACCCAGGACGAAGGGCCTGGAAGCCCAGTGAGATGGCCCCTACCTGCTTCTCCACAGGGGTTGTCTCCCTGGGCTTCTGTTCTTACATATACATAACAACGGGAAATGACTGGGGTTCAAGTTCTTGCTCTAACTTGAACTTTTAGCCTCTTGGAACTTCCATCTTTTTATCTGTAAACCAGGGCTAGGAGGATTAAGTGAGAAAAGGATGCAAAAGGATTCCAGTGGGTCTGCCATGGAAGGTGTGCCACAGATGTCTCTTCTCTCTTTCCTGCTAGGAGTTGATGCTCTGGGGCTGAAATGATATGAGATGTGGGATTGGGCCTCAAACGGTGCCTGTTAGGAATGCTGATTCCTTCTTGCAGCCTCTTCAGCCTCTGTCTCTGATGATGGGCGGACTCAGCAAAGTCAGGGCTGAGTCAGGAGCCCGCAGTACCAGGATGCCTGTGGATTTGGGCTGGACACCAGGCTGCCTGCTACTTACTATGCTTCCAGACCCCCATGGGTAGCAGTGGACAGTCTTCAGCCACTTCCACTCAGTTGTGCTCCCTTTCATTGTCCACCTGCCTCCATGTGCTGTCAGGTGACAGCATTGTCCAGGGACCCCATCTCAAGAGGCAGGTAGGTACTCCATGTGGCATCAAGAGGGCTGGGCAGGTTTGGAGTCAAACGCAGAAGTAACCAGGCACCTTTCGACTACTACAGCTATCTTTAGGCAGCTATGTATTTTAAGCTCCTGAAGTGACTCAGCACTTCAGGGAGCACAGTTATTGAGTACCTACTGTGTACTTTCACACAGCTTAGGAAAACAAGGTTCAGAGAAGCCTCCAAAGACTTCAGTATATAGGTGACCAGTCTTGGAGCTGAAGCCAGCTGAGTCCAAAACTCTTTTCAGTCCTATGCAGGCTCCCTGCTGATAGTATCTGAGCAATTTATGGAAGTTAAACTACATCTGTTATGCAGAGGGCATTATGTAGGAAGCTTTGCTAATTCATCTGTAAACATCCAAGCATCAGTTTTTTGGTATAAACAGGCATGAATGTGTTCTCTGATGGTGCTGGACCCCAAGAACACCGAGGTTATTATATGGCAGTAGGCCACGCTGATGGGTAGGGAACTATTGGGTGGGGAAGCTGACTGGGGTTTCTGGGTGCCAGAATGTTCTCAAAGTTCCTATTTGGAGTTTCAACATTAAATCCTATGCAAGAACAAATCACCATCACCTCACCAAGGGGCCAAGGGGAACAACTCTGCCCCCACCTCACTGGGCTCCTTGGGTTCTATTCTTTCATTTCCATTGGAAACTTACGGTGTCCGCCCACCTATCAGGAAGAAAAGGTCAGCATCCTCTGCCCCCACTGGATGCTGTTTCCCTGGATACTGTTTCCCTCAGATCAGTCTGAGAATCACTTTTCCGGTGATACTGGCACCTCCCCAGTAGTGGAAAGAGAGTGGCAATAATTTGGAGAGACTGAGGCAGGAGTGTCAAAGCAACAGGGCTGTTGGGAGGACATGGAGGGACCCAGCCACAGTGAGACTGGAAGAGGCCTCAGGTCTCCACTACTCTCTGCAGCGATTGTGGCTGCCCGAGCTCATCTCCAAAGTGCCAGACACATGTGAGCAATCACAGAGGTTTCCTCTGGGCAGAGCCTCCCCGACTGGCTCCTGTCTCACCCCCACAGGCACATAATGGAATTAAGTGTGACTCCACTGCAGTTCCACGCAGTGACTTATGCTGCTGCAGTCAATAAAACCCACTCTTGGAAAGAAACTAGATTACGGGTCAAGGAAGGGTGAGCTGTCCACTGAGCCGCCTCTGATCATCCCCTGTGGGGGGCCTTCCAGAGTCCTCCTCTCTTCATTTCCACCAAATTACCCATGCTGCCAATGTGGGCCCCCAGGTTCGGATTTGTTATTTAGATTGACTTTGCCTCTCCAACGTTGATGTGGTAACACAAAACCATGCAGTGTGCAATCCAGAGGAGTTTTCAAAATGAGACATTTCCCAGGCATCTGTCACTAACAGAGCCCCCCACCAGGGACTGAAGGGCAGATGGCACGGGTGTGTGGTCCCTCCCTGCCTGTCACCCTCTAGAGGAGGCAAGGTCAGTGCAGTCTTCAACCATGGAGGTCTTACCTTACATGGGTGAGGGTCCACTCCGTATGTCTCCAATGTCTGCGCTTTTCTTAAAAAGTTCAGCTCTGATGTTGCTGGTGTTTGACCACTGGAAAAAAGAAAATGAGATAATTTTCTCATTCCCATTCCCATCAGTTCCCCTAAGGTAAACTCTATTAGAAATGTTCAGGGTGAGTCTCACGCTCCAATTTTTCCTTAGAGTGTGCTCCCTGCTCTGTTCTAGGACCAGCTTCAGGGAATCCTGTCTGGGGTCAGAACTCAGATGTCTTCAGAGTAAGTCTGGCTATGGAAGGAATGACATGGTCTGAGTGTAACACAGTAGGGGGTGGTGGTCATTGTGGCAGACTGGGGAGTGCTACCCCAGCTAATAAGGGCAGCTGCTCCTCAGCTCCAGGATCACAGTCATTTGGGAATGCAGGGCCCAGGATTGCTAGGTGTAATTTTAAAAAGTGAGAGAGACTGGTTTTTGTGTGGTATTTCACAATTTTGAATACACTGGGAGCAAAAACAAAACACCCGTAGGCTGGCTACAGGCCATGGGTTTCTTGTCTATGATCTGATCTGGACTGAAATACAAAGAAGGCACCTGTCCATCCTGCTGGTGCCACCTAGCCCTCAAACTTCACCAAAAGGGAACCTGGGAACAGAGGGTGAAGAACACAGGAGGAGGCAGTGCTGAGCTCTCCACGCTCCATAATAGCTTTGTCTGTCCACAGGTTGATGACTATGAAAAGGAAACAAGCAGAAAAAGAAATCAGCCCTGGTGCCAAGCCATCTGAGGAAGGGGCCTTTAGCATCATCCCCCTCCTGGCTGCCTCTTCAGTAGGTGTGCTGACGAGCTCAACACAGAACAGAGACAGGAGCACCATCAGGCTCGCTCAGGGTCCAGAGCCCTGGTGAAGCAGATGTGCTGCAGATGTGGGGTTGGCTTTGGTGTAAGGACGGGTGGGCAGTTTGTGAAGTCAACAAATCTGATGGCTGCTGGTCAGGACTGAAAGTTGCTCATTTCTGAGTTCATCATTTGCCTCAAGTAATCTGGCAGGAAGGAAGACAAGCCAAACCCAGGGAGGACCAGGCCAGATTCCCTCTGGTGTCCCTCGAGAACACCAGTCAGTCAGCACCGTTACGTGCCAGCTTCTGTACTGTTTGCTGTAAAATATACCAAGAAGCAAAGCACACAGTCTGGGCTCTCAAGGAACTCATGTCTGAGCTGGAGAAAGGAAACACAGATTTTTACATTATGAAGATCAGGCTGAATCTGCATATGCAGGCATTGTTATGTTGACTGCAGGCTTCCAGTGAGCCGGATAAAGGGAAGGTGTTTGGGAAATGCTTGTGCAGCAGGCAGAGGACTGGGCACCAGAGGCAGCTGAGTACTGCTACCCTACCCCTTCCAGGGAGCTTCCTCATTCATTGTCAGGAGGCTGGAGGGCCCTATGGGCTCCATTCACTCCTGGAGTCGGCACAAACCTCCAGAGCCCTCAAAACAGGAATCATTTCCTGGGGGATCCCCTGCCTTGTACTTGGTTTCTGGAGCACAGTCCCCACTGTTCTGACATCTCCAGAAACCCTCCTGACGGTGCCAGCCGGCTGACCTAGCACATCACCAATCTCTCTGAAGGAATCGTGAGCCCTCACTCAAGTTCATGTTTATTCTGACCTTTTCCACAAGGGGCTGCTATTTCCCTAGTGGAGAGGGCTGCCGGAGTCCCAGCGCACTGCCCAGGGAGAGGGGCAGAAGAGGCTGGGCTTCCACCTCTCCTCAGGGAGGGTGGGGAGCCAGTCCTGCCACACATACAGAGCAGGACGCCCGTTTGCAGGGCTGAGGAAGCTTTGGGGATATATGTGTTGGTAAAATCTTTGAAGGTGAACATTGTCTTTTGTGTTGTTTGGCAGGTTGGGGTCAGGGTAGAAACTAGTTTAATATTATCATTAGAAATAGTTTTTTCCACCCTTGGGCATTTTGCTTTCCCAGAAAGGTAGTTCCACAAATATTTTAAAGGATTCAAAAAAACTGTAATATATTAATATGATGGCATGTTTTATTTTACAGCATTGTGTATGACTTTTTTCTTCATATCAGTTTGGGAAATCTGTGCTCCAATGTCACACAAAATGGAACCCAAACACTTTGTTGTTGTTTTTAAATCAATCTTTGTAGAAAATCCCATTTCGTATCAGTGAAAGAATGCATTAAGGCTCTTAAGGAATTTGGCATATTCTGGGCGAACTAAGAGAAACCTAGGAGGGTAAAGCCTCTTGCTTCCAGCTGCTTTTCCCCTCCTTGTCTCTGTTCAGGGATGCGGGGCCGAGTGAGGCAATGCTGTAGACGTAGTCCCTGAGCCAAGCACTCTTGAGTGCCCACAGTATTTATGAACCAGGCCAGCCGCTGAGTCCCATCTGCTGACCCAGAAGCCATGGGTCACTCTCAGACTGAGGGGAGAGGCTGCCCATTTTTCTATCTCCGCTTAACCCCTCCTCTCTTATCTTTTTTCTTTTCTGCTGTTCTTTTATATTTTTCTTTTCCTTTTCCCCAGTTCATGCTTCTTCCCTCTGTCTTTTCATTTATCTTGGTGAAGCAAATACCTTTCAGAGGCCACTCTCTTGCCTTTAAGCCTCAGCCTATACCACACCCACAGGGCTTGGGGTTGTGTTGTCAGTGGGTCACTGAAAATGGTTTATCCCAAAGTTAGAAAATGTGGGATTTTGGGAGCAGAGGACATAGGGCAGAGCCTGTGTGCTCAGGCTGTCGGGGAGCCATGTCCTGGGCCCTAACTGTCACGTACCTGAGTTCTGTCTTGTGAATCTCAGCAATTTTCCTTTCCAGCTTCTCTGAATGTTTTGGAAAAAACTGGAACTTGGAACTGTAGCCTTCAGGGTGTTTCCCTGGGTCATAATCCCCAATTTCCGCTTGCAAAAGGAAAATGGAGAAAAACAGTTGTGGAGGTAGGTGAATCATCACTGGCAAAGCAACAAGAGATTAATGCACAGAGCAAAAGCCAAAGCACACACCAGATTTACAAAGAACAGTGGATCTCGAGCATGGCTGTGGGTCATGCAGAGGGCAGGCCCCTCAGGAGCACGCCCACCTTTGTTTTCCCAGGTGTGCACACTGGGTTGATATCAAATCTAAGCAGAGAGACAGTGGAGCTGACCGTGTGTTCCAAGGTCACTACAAGTAAATTTGCAATAAAAGAGCAGAAGCCTGCACCATGGTCCTCATCCACTCAGATTTTAGAAGAGGGGCTGGGAGCTGTGCTCTTTGTGGCAGCACAGGAAACGGTGAGCTTGAGCAGCAAGACCTAGGCCTGAGCCAGAACAGAAGTCCAAATCTTGTCTGCAGGATTTTAGCAGGGACACAGCACAGTGATGAATTTGCTATGACCCAAACTCACAATTCAACTTAGTACAAATCAAATCAAATGAATAAATTTGGATAAATATTCACTGAGGGCTGACCAGGTGCAAGAACCTTGGAGAGGACTGCAGAGCAGGAAAACTGGCTGTAACTGGAAAGTGCCTTTGAGTTCAGGAGCACCAGGTCCTAAGGCTGACTTCCAGTTCCCTGGGGGGCTGAGAGATGGGGGGCTTTCTCCGGCCATTCAGAGAGTCTGTCCCTAAAGCTGCTGATATCTCAGATCAGAGAACTTTGCTGGGGGCCTTGTGGGGGTGGGGCCCACGGGGCCCTCCGCAGTGTGTTCCCAGGTCAGAACCTAGCCTCCACGTGAGGCTCTCCGCAGGGAACCAGCACAGGTATGTTAAGAAGTTTCAGCTGCTTTATGGCTGTCCTTCGTCCTTTCCTAGTGAGAAGCACAGCTAGTGAAGATGAGCAGTCTTGAGGGAGGAGTAAATATCAAGAGGAAGATGTGTCCTCCTCTCACAGTTGAATATTGTACTTGTGGCACAGACCTACTTAATCTGTCTTCCAAATTACTTGGGAATTTCTATCGTTTAGCAAGAGACTAAAGGCTTTCCTGTCCAGAGTGACCTTGAGCCAAGGAGTCATTTATGATGATTTTATTTAGAAAGCTCCAAGCAGAAAACATCAATGTTGGACATGAATTACATTTTTAAAGGAAAAAAAAAAAAGAATTCAATCTAGTTTTCCAGATAAAACTGAAGGAAAGACTAGAGTTTAACATGTCACTTAGACTGGACCAGGTTTTCCTTTAAAAGTGAAAGAGGCATCTCTGGGTCCCTTAGACTCCTCAAGCACCTTCTAGACCTCCTGCCTAGGTGATTTCTGTAAAACAAGAGTCTTAGAAGTCAAAGTTGCAGTGGGCTGACTTTTACATTCTTATGCAGCTATGACATTCCTCTTGCCAGAAGAACTAATTTCTTATTGGCAAGCATTTTCCAGGTTCTCTTCACAAAGTAACTTCCTGGAGTTCACAGACTTCCAATTAAGAGTTCATATTCTTTGATGGAAACTTCGTGATTTTAGTGCTATGGTCCAAAACAATCCAGTGACAGTTTCAGGCCTACGGACTGAAAAGTCTAGGAAGTGGCACTGGGGTGTTCCCTGCATTTAATGAAAGGAGAAGAGACCATATATGAAGAGTGCAGATCTTTCCCACTGATTTGCAAAACAAACAGGCAGTCTAGGCATCAACTGGGTACAGATTCGACTCTACCTTATTAGTTTGTTAGAAAATGTGTTTGTTACGTGAAAACATTTTCAGTTTTGAACACTCTGAATAAAAAGGTCTCTGAAATAGATACTGGAATTCCAAGATGCTTCACATCTTTGGGATTTGCAAGAAAAGACAGGAAAAATATGATTCAGATTACTCTCCACAGTCTCAGTAACTTTATCAACCAAGGGTACAGGGAAGGATTCAGAATGACTTGATGGGGCTGCAGAAAGACCTCAGATGCCCTTGAGGGTTGAGTGCTCAGAGCTTTCTGGGTCTGGGGAGTCCAGGCCATATCTGCTTACACTTTGCTTCCAGTTAGATACTGTTTATATCCAATAAGTAGTCATCTGTGGTAACTGAAATAATGTAATCAGTACTTAGCATGAAAAGCAAATTTATCCTGTCAAAAGTCATTACCTTGAAGGATATAAGCTGCTAACGAGGCAGCATCTGATGTCTTACAGAGGAGGCGGCCACGGTAGAGATCCCTTTTGATCTGCAGGAAGACTAAGTACCTGGGGAGAAAACAGAGTCAACTGTAAGGGATTTCTTTGATTGCTTTAAAGTTATAAATATGTAATATCAGCCTATCAAAATCTTTGTCAGGACACTTCTACTACATTAAAAAAAATCTTGAAAATATACCACAGAACAAATTATTTTCCAGTTCCCTGAAGAATGTTTGAAGAACTTTGCCCTGAAATGATTTGAGGTTCAATTCAAAACAACATATCATTTTATTTTCTGTAGATCAAAACAGAAATGGCACTTCCTGCTAAAAGCATTGCCCCCCCAGCGCTGGGCTTTGGAAGGCACCAGCCCTGAGAGTTTTGCCTCAGTGCACCAGGGGGACAGCCATTGCTGGCAGAGGTCCGCCAGACAGACCTCTCAGAATTTAAATAAGGTCCCTCTTCAGAAAGCACAGAACCCTGTGGCCAGCATTTCTTCACACAGACAAAGCTCTCCTGTAGGTGGGAGCAGCATGTTGAGAACAGCAAATAGCGGCTGACTTGTATTGAGCACTTTCTACCTGCCACTTTATACTTTACATGTTATGGCCATGTTACGCACTTTACACGCAATGTCTTATCTAATTCTCACAGAACACTTTGTTTGAGACAGGTACTCTTGTCTCCCTGTTATTTAAGATAAACTGAGGCTTAAGTGATTTTCTTATGGGTACACGACTGGTTAAGTGGCAGAGCCAGGATTCAAATTCAGGACTGGTAGGCCTGAGGCTGGCCTGTTTGCACTATAACCACTTCATAGTTTCACAAGTAGCTGCGTAGATCCTACTGCAGTGGAGCGGAACTGCTGACTTTCCATGTGGAATGTCTTTACAAGGAGGGGGCCCTTGGTGTTCATCACCTTGCAGGTGCCCCGGGAGAACAAAAGCCAGTGGTATCAAACTCTACATGAGTCACCTACCACAGTGGCTCCTGGGCAGGAGGCATCAGTGGCAGTTTAAAAATATGTCCACAAATTCTTTGATACTCATTTCCAGAAGTGGAGCTTAACTCCCTCCCTTTGCAGGTGGATTGGACTTACTGACTCGCTTCTAACAAACAGAGTAAAGTAGAGGTGACAGTGCCTGATATCTGAGATGAGGTCATAAAAGCACTGCGCCTTCCTCCTGTTCTTACTCTCTTGGATCACTCCCTCTGTTTGAGGACGCTTAAGCTGCCCCAAAGAAAGGTCCATGTGATGAGGAGCTGAGGCCTTTTCCTAACAATTAGCAAGGAACTGAAGCTTTCCACCAACAGCCATGTGAGTGGACCACCTTGGGAGTGACCCCACCGAGCCAGCCTTCGGATAACTGCAGCCCATGTGAGGCCTGGAGCCAGAACCACCCAGCTCAGCTGCTCCTGAATTCCTGGCCTACAGAAACTGAGAGATAATAAATGCTCGTTATTTTAAGCTAAGCTTTGTGGCACTTTGGTAGACAGCCATAGATAACTACAGCATTCCTACGGCAGTAATGGAAATGTAGTAAAATTCCCTTAAACTTCATTAGGCTGAACCAAAAAAGAAATTGGACCCTCCCTGGACAACTAGAGGTTTCATTTACATTGCTGTTTTCAGGCTGAAGAATAAGGCGGAGGATTCCATGTCCACTTGACCAGAAGAAAGAGGACCATTGGTAGTGCGACTTCTGGGGTGGGGAGCAGCACCTGCAGGCTAGGGACAGCTGGGGCGTGGTGATCGAAGTGATCAACAAACACAGATGAAGGCGCGAAACTCTCCTAAAGCCTTGCTACTCAAAGTGTGGCTCACATATTAGGGGAATTGGCATCATCGGGAAGCTTGTTGGAAATGGAGAAGACCTATCCTAGACCTATCTATGGAGTCAGTTTAACAAGATTCCCAGGTGATTTGTACCTAGATTAAAGTTTAAGAAGCACTGTTCTAAGAAAATTTGAAAGCCTCCTTCTAACCACACCAGGATGGACTGCCCTCCTCAAACCAAAAGGAAGGGGAATATTGGAGTCTGGATATTAGTAATACCTCCCCTCCTCACCCCGACCATCACTACCAGCCCCGCTGTGCCCCAGTGTTTGCCAAGAGCTGAAGGAAAAGACATTGTGTCTTTTCCTTCAGCTCTTGGCATGGATCTTTCAAGCTTGTTTTCCCTCTGCTTCCCACAGTGAGATGCCACAGGGTGTGTGTGTGGGAGGGAAGGAAAGGGGACGAGGGGGAGGAGGCAGGGGAAAGGGAGAAGGGGTGAGGGAGCGCACCTCTCCCTGCCCCAACTCCTGCCTGCCACAAGCTTGGGCAGGCCACGGAGGCAAACCTGTCACCCCCCTACTCACTGATCCCACAGCTCTCTGCTTGCCCGTGTCCAAAATTCCAGGGCAGTGCAATCTGGACTGGAGGAGATGCTTGAAAGAGACAGCAAGGCTCTAGGCAGTGATTCTCCGTGTGGTGGTGAGAACACCCCCCAGAAGCACTCCAGAATCTGTGTACACGTGTGCTCCTGGATCCGAAGAAGCCTCCACAGCTTCTGATCTGCTCCCCCCTCCCATGGGGCATGCTCCACCCCACACTGAGAACCACTGTCTTTACAAGGCTGGGGACACGACAGGGGCCTCAGGTGAGCTGGAATGGGAACAAAGCTTCCCACTGCCGGGCAGGGTTCCCTCAGACTTCTGGAGGCAGGATAGCTACAGGGAGATCCAGGGTAAGGACATAGAAACTGTCAGGCAATGGCTTGGTGGCTGGAGAGGAAGAGGGAAGGAGGGGCGGGTCAGCATCCTAAAGAAACAAACCAGTCTTCAGATGGTAAGAGATGACCTCATGAAAGAATCAACTGACAGCTTCAAGGGAGAGAGTTGCACTTGGGAGTCTCTCCTTCCCTTTCTGTGACAGTGACTTCCATCAAGTTTGTGTTTTGTTCATTTAAGGACAAGACTTGGTGGTGGTGGTTGGTAAATGTACCCTATGTGACTCAGAGCATCCTTAGACATATTCTGTTCTTCCCTGGAAGGTTTGCCCCTGTCACACACAGGCCTGGAGAGGACGATCTTGTTCCCTGAGGCATTGCCACCAGGGCCACCGTGCTACCAGGGAGTGGAACACCCTGCTGGGGTCGTCCAGCCAGCCCCTCCTGAGGAACAGGCTGGCTGAGTTACTCAGTCTCAGAATCCCAGAATAGGAGTTACAGAGCCTAATTCTCTCATTTTATAGATGAGGAACCAGAAGTAAAGTGATGTAGAGTGACTCGTCTGAGGAGACCCAGTGATCAAATCAAGGAAGGCCTCTTGATTGGCCTGATTCTTTTTCTACCCCCAGGGTGACTCACTTAGTTACTAGGTTAAAGAGAGAGGGGTCCTAACTGAATCCAGGGGAACTCTGTCATCAAAGAGGAATACACACTGGAACCACACATGAAATCAGCTTCAGACCAGACTGAAGACAACAAGCTTGCTCCTTAGGACACTTCTTGGGTAAGTTTTGCTGATCTCCTTATGGTTTCAAAGAGGCTCCATTTCTGTTTGCATGCCAGTGTTGTCCTAAATGGACGGAGGGATCAATCAGGACCATCGAAAGGCAGAATGAGTGACAGCCTAAAAGACAGCCATGGAAAACCTAGTTTTTCTGTAACATATACTTCTCTCCAAGTTTTTCTGTAACATGATGGCTTGGCATCATGCTTTCTGATATCAGATGGTGGGGATAAATCCACAGATATTCCCAGAATTGAAGATTCTGAACTCTGGAAATCACTGGCAGCTCCTGAAGAGGTTCTTCCAAAAGATCTGTTGGCTCTGCCTTCCCTTCATCAGATTCTTTGATCCTGGCTTCCTCTATTTTTTACCATCCCTTTTCCTAACTACAATCATGTTTAGTATGTCTTTCTCTCCCATACTAGACTGCAGACTCCTTGGAGTGAGAGACTGTTTTATTTACTTTTAATATTCTTCCAGAAAGCCTACATGTGTAGCTCACTTAATCACCATCTCTCATCCACCCACCCATCTTATCCAGTTCTGAGCACTTACATGTGCCAGCCACTGCCACAGGTGGTGGGAATACACCATGGGACAAAACAGAGTCCCTATCCATATGGAGCTTGCATTCTAGTGCAGAGAGACAGATGACAAAATAATGACAAATAGTAATGACTTGCTGAGTGCCACACACCATGCTGTTTAACAGGTACACTCTCATTTAGTCCTCACAACTCTATGGGGCGACTACTGTTTTTATTCCTGCCTCGCAGATGAAGAAACTGATAGATTGTTGCTTGCTGTGTTGCATAGCAAGTTAAAGAATAACCTAGGATTTGAACCTAGGTCTTTCTGATTCCTTAGCCCAGGACTGGCAAACTGCGACCTGCCACCAGAGTTTCCAATGAGATAAAATTTGATTGGAATACAGCCGGCTTATTCATTTATGTTTCATCTATTGCTGCTTTTGTGCTACAAAGGCAGAACTACAAAGTTGCGACAGGGACCATATGGCTCACAAAGCCTAAAAAACTTACTATCTGGCCTTTTGTAGAAAAAGTTTGCCAAACCATCTTGACCTAACCTAGGCTCAAGTGATATTCATTGAAGGAATAAAGGACCTAAAGACTCCATTCATTCATTCACATATTTGTTCATTTTATTAACATTTTTTTTTGAGCCCCTGCTCAAACATATTTCAGGCAGTTTGCTTCTTTGAAAGATAGGGCCCCATTTGCACTCAATTTCCTTCTACTACTTGATCTTTCCAAAGACTTCGTACACCTGCGGTCCCTGTTAGAGCTAAATTTGGTGCCTAATCCCTATTTTCTCTGCCTTGTCTCTAGCTCAGACAAGAAAATCTATTTATTACTTTAAAAAATGACAAAAGAGATTAATTGGGATTTGGCAACTAAATTTATCATCTGGGAAGAGTCCAAGAGATAAATTGAAGCACAGTTCTTTACTCCCTACTTCATCCCCCTTCATCTCAGCCTGGCTTTATGGGAATAGCTGAGATGGCAGTGAAACTTAGGACCAATATTGCTAGGAAAAAACACACTGACAGCTAAATTACTTTGGCAGGAAGGTTGTATGGAGGGCTCTAAACCAGGAATGAATTAGGGGTGCTGAGTGAGGCTGGGGCAGGTACCCACTCTTAAGGTCAGCAGGGATATGGAGGAGAAAGAGGCAGCAACGCCAAGGCCTCCACAGAGTGTGTCAGGGCAGGGGAGGCATAAAACTCCCAATCAGGCCCAGGCACCCTGTGGGTCACACTCCTGACAACACTTGGAAAATGCATGCTAGGGAAGGAAGGCTGGTGAGGTGAGAGCATGGGGAAGGGAGTCGGGGCAGTAAGCATAAGTGCACAGAAACGGGAGGAGCTCACATACTCGTCAGGGTCTCAAGTGTGCTGCCTCGGAGAGAGGCCTGGTCATGGCCCTCACACTCTGCTGACCAAGACTTGCATGATTAGCTGGGATGGCTTTCTATCCAGGTCCTCAAAAGTGAGCTGCTTAAGTGCTGGGACTCTATCTGGTAGGCAAAAAGGACAGAGGAGGAGTGGGGTTATCGAAAAGAAGTGCCTTTCTACTTAACAAAGGACAAAAGTCAGAGCTAAACTGTACTTGTGCCCCACGTAGAGGGCTTGGGGTCTGTGGACCATGTGATCAATCCGGCAGTAAACAGAGAGGGAACCTTTGCTCCATGCCAGGCTCACTGCAGGGCGTATTAAGAAGTACTAGACCCTGGTGTAGTGGTTACTCCAACAACTCTACAAGGTAGCTATTACTATATTCATTTTATTAATAAGGTATCTGAAGGTCAGAGAGGTTAAATATCTTATGTCCAAAACTACCCAGCCAAGAAGTGACAGAAATAGGATCTCTGAGCTCCCAGGCCTGTGTTGCTTCTTGGGTAGGAGGGTTTGTGTATTAGTATTACATGGTGATGTTTGATTTAGAAAATTGTATCATTAAGAGTTCCTCCTAAGGGCCAAGATAACCATATATTCTTGTCCTTAAGTCAAGTCAGAAAGCCACAGAAGTGTCTGTTGGGCTCTCCCTGGCAGCTCACTGAGTTGAATTGTCAGACTAATCCCTCTCATCCCCATCCTTGGTGCAGTGAGGTGGAGACCAGGTGATCTGGTGTGTGATCTTAGGAGGCAAGGTGCTAGGCTCTCAACAATTTAGCATATGTTAAATTTGCCCTAATGTGTGGGTGAGCGCATGGACTTCTGGGTTTGACCTTTCCAGAGGGACAGGCAGGCTCAGAGCTGAGGCAAATACTCTGGAGGTCATGGGCAGGGCAGGCCAAAACTCCTCTCTGTTTAAGTTGTTAAACATTGTGGTTCTACCCCCACCTTCCTGCCTAAAGCTACAGGATTGCTCATCAGTATGGGTGAACTTGGTTTTCAGAAGTAAAGCTGGAGCCATATCTGCTTCCATGTGGATGAGCAGAGCCTGCAGTTTCTTTGTCCAGTAAAAAACATGAGGTTTGGTTCTAACGACCATTTCGCTGTCCTCAGTGCTTCAAAGTCGGTGGGTGTGCACTGCCCCGGGCGCCCAGAGGAACCACCGTTCTGATCCTCTGCCTCCATCCTGATATTCCCTTCAACCTCCACTGGGGCCCATGGGAAGAAGCCACTTTCCCTCCCTGCCCCACTTGCTTCCTTTGAACTATGGATTCCTGATTCTTGCCCTCTTCTCTCCCTATTCCTCGTTTTCCTTCTCAGAGAAACTTTTGCTCCTTTTACCTGACATAAAGCTAGTTTCCTTCCTCAGCTCTAGGATTCCCTGCCACCATCTCTTCTCCTAGAACACAAGCTCTACAAGGTAACATCAAGGTTTTGCTAATGTCAAAATGGGATCTTTCTCATATGACAGTTAGGGATCCCTGCTACAGAGTTCCTGAATCTCTGAGGCAAGACTTTCCCAGTGAATTTGGCTCAGATATAAAAAGCCCTGGGGAAGCTTTGAAGCTCTTGTCATTGACCCTCTTGACGGATGGTATGGGAACAGAAGTTCCTACTCATCCTCAGGTGGTGCTGGATGAGACAGGATTCATTCCATGCAGCTGTCTGCCCCTTGCAGAACATGATCCCCACAATGAAGAGTTTGTCACGGACCTGATCCATCAGCACACTGACGTTTACTCATGTGGATTTAAAATCTTCAGTATTTCCTAGCTTGTTTGTCAGTGTCATGCTTTAGCATCTCCCAAGTACATTTCCCACAGGAGTCTATTTCAATCCCCAAAATGAGCAGCAACATGGCCCTCTCCAAAAATACTCATGGCGGCCACATCATTGGTAAAGAAAAAATGTTTTGATTAATTAGTTACTCCAGATGCCTTTGCCAACGACCAGTTAAAGATGAGTATTCACACATGCTGAAGGAAAGAGGCTCACTCTGTTCCAGATCCTCTGAGGTGAACAAAGGAGGCACGTGAAATGAAATACAGAGTTGAGGGTATATATTCAGGAAGAATCCCTGCCTGTAAGAGTTAGAAGCTTCCAAAAGAGAGGATTCAAGAGGTTGTGTCCCCTCTTTCCCACCTCTCCAACAGGTCTCAGTGGCCGGGGGAGTGTGTTCAGCCTTACCTGGTGATTTCTTCTTTCAGGGCAGCAGGGTCTGCAGGGTAAAACTTCACACGGAAACACATGGTGAATGGGGGCTGGGCTGCAGAGAGAAAGGGGTGTCCCTCAGGAAAGACCTTCCCTGGGAGGCGTCTGGGCTGCCCTCCCCCGGCTGCATAGGCCTCCAAACCATCAGAAGAAAATCTTCATGTGTTTAGGGCCAACTTATGCTCAGCACAGTGAAAAATTACCAAGACTTCCCACAAATGGGAGGTTTCATCCTGCCCTTCCCAAGGGTGAGGCTTCCGCCTTTTTGAGAAGAATACTTACATCTCAATTGCTTCACCACAGACTTTGTAAACTCCAACCAGTGCTGAAACAGAAAGCACAGAGCAGGAGGGCCTATGAGAAACGGTGTCAAATACAGTTTGCTTTGTCCTATTTAAATAACTGGACATACTGTAGCCCAGGTTGAAAGCAGGCTGTAAGCTTGTGATAGCAAAGAGGACCTGGAGGGTTAAGAGGGATATGCTTTTCTGAAATAAGCTTCCGTGGAACCAGCTGTGAAGGGGAAGAGCTCCAGTTTCACATGCCATTTCTGGGCTTCCCTGACAATGCCACCTTCTAAAGCAGGGTGCTGAAGTTCTGCGCCACGTGTGGTGTTCCAGCAAACACAGGGAATGCACATATGTGTGAAGGGGACAGAGCGCACCCGGCTCGGGGCTCCAGCAGGGAAATGGGTTGTGTGTGTTCATGTTATGTGCCAAGTTTCTGGGGGGATAGGGTGAGGACAGAGGCTGCTGGTAGCAGCTCTACAAAGTACTGACAGGTGGGATTTCATGCATGATGAGAATGCTCGAATGGCTGGTGTCTATTGCATCTTTGTTGGGGTAACATTTTGCCAGTCCTTGTGTCAGGGAATACATGCTCAGGATTCCTGGCATCCTGGGATGTTTAAAGTCTCAGTCTCATAAGATAACTAACCATAACCAGTGTGTGGGATAGTGTCTTGTTTACCTTGGATTTTCACAGAGGTGGGATGTTGTTACAAAAAAATGTATTTCCATGGTTCTAACATTTGGGGAAGGAAGCAATAAGACCAGTCTACATTTATTTCCCAGCTGACACGAATGCTTTAAAAATGCTGATGTTTGTGGCTTTTATGCTTATCAGGAATCGTGCAATTTACAGAGTTAGAACTACTGTTATTTAGGATTTGATTATTAATTAGTAACTTAAAAACATTAGCCATAGCTCTGTGAGGGCAGAAACTCTTTATTTACCACTGTACCACCAGCACCTGGCACAGGGTTCAATACCTAGCTGTTGAATGTGCAAAAGGAAGCCAGTTCATACCTCCCTTTTCTCTGGCTACTTCCATTTAGCGAAACATCTTGGCAGAGTCCTCCCTCTGGCAGGAAAGCAGCCAGGGCCATGCAGACAGCATCCTGACCTCCCTGATTCCCAGCTCTCACCTTCTGGGCCGGACTGTGGGTCATGCAGCTAATGGACCCACTAAGAGCCAGTTCATCCGTCAGCTCCACATGGATAATCTGGGCTGACATTCTGCTCTCTTGCTTCCTCTGATCTGAGCTCCCACGAGGCTGGCAACTCATTATTGCCACTCAATGTGGTTAAGAGGTCCTTCTCACGTTACACAGCCCACTGCCACTTGGCTTCACAGGGCAGCAAAGGCAAGATATGAAACTGCATGGGAGCAACTTGGGGTGCCCAGGCAGTGCCTGTGAAGGCAGAGGGGCTGTCTGTTCCAAGCACATCGGAACTGTGTATAGCGAGGAGAGCACACCAAGTGTCCAGGACTCAGAAAACAGAACACCCCTAGGCATTCACCTGACAGACTGAAATAAGTAAACAAAGGAAGACAGAAACTATGAGGAACGACGGTGAGATCTGTCATCGGCAGAAGGCAGATGGAACAGAGTGACAAAAAGGCTGTCCCCCTTGGCAGTCGCCAGAGAGGACCTTGGTTTGTGCCGGAGTGAGGCTGGAGGGGGCTGGGGGGTGGTGTGAAGGGAGTGGAAAGGGTCACTTGTCCAGGAGATTTTAAGGGACTGGTAGAGAAATCTTGACAGGATCCCAAGAACATGCTGATGGCCCCAGTTACCTTTTGCAGATCTCTGCCTAAATCTGGGTCCCAGAACACTAGCAAACTGATAAACTGACCTTGCAGACCCAGTGGAGGCCCCTGATGAACAGGTGGTGATGGGATGGATGTGAGCGCTGTGCTCCGACTGCCTGGTGCCCACAGAGGAGGTTTATTTTAGGGCTTCACAGAGCGGGGGAGCCAGGAGCTTATCTCCTCAGTCTCTATCATGAATCATCCGATCAAGGATGACAGTTCTTTACAGGTCTGTTTCCCCGTGCTCTCCAAGCCTCTCAAGCCTCTCTCCTTAACCTCTCCATAAAGGCATAGGGTCACAGAGCTTCAGAGCCTCTCAGGCATGATTCAGCATGGAACCAGCCAGGTCAGAGCTGGAGACAGACCTCGCCATTTGCATTGGGCAAGCCACTTAGCAGGAGACTTTACTCATCTGCAGAATGGATACTATGACGCGAGTACTCATCTCATTTGTGGTAAGGATTAAATAACATATGTGAGGCTCTCAGCTTGGTGCCTAATACAACTCTGTGTTCGATACATACCTGCAGAAAGATCGAGGTCTGTGCTCAGTGCACAGCCTGGTACACAGTAGCCCCACCATAAACATTTGTTTCTCCTTTGTCCCATTTCCTTACTTTTCTCTATGTCCTTCTGCTCTTAATCTTTATCCCTGCCACAAACTCTCTTATTCTCCTTAAGCACATTCTGACCTAACTAACAAATAATGAACAGGATGCATTTTGACCATTCTTCATATGCCACTCTTTTTGGGATATGAAGAGGCCTTGGGGAACCTGGTCTGTCTTCTTAAGGAGAAACAGCTCAGACCAAATAAATAAATAAACAACAACTACAGAACCCCTTTGTCAAAATAGCCCATTATTACCTAGTGAATGGACACCTATAGCATGTGAGGACACGTAGCTTCCTGGTGTCATGGCACTTTTTTTGTACTATGGTCCCGAGCCAAGGACAGTATTTATGTCAAGACTGTGGAGTCATTATAGTGTGGGGACTGATATCAACACTACTTCCTAAACACTGACAATGCTCAGAATTCTGCTGAGCCAGGAGGGATGAAATATGTCAGTGACGGGGGTCAGGGCTAGTCAAAGGAAAGGGATCTGGCCTTTTGAGCTCTTCCTAAAGCTCCTGTGTGAATCCCAAAACATTATATGGGGCCTGGAGACACAGAGGTGCAGAGCAACCAAGAACAAAATAGCACTTGACTCTGGCGTGGTGAGAGTTGTATCCATCTGTTATCTGTGGCCCTGGGCACTGCTGGGGGCCGCGCCTTCTGGGACCCCAAGGCCTCCATGACAGAGATGGGCCCTGTGTTCAAGGCTATGAAGAAAATCAGTAGACCCATGAAAGGCGGGCAGTGGTGGTAATGCATTTGGAAGAGGCAGACAAGGTGGGGCAGGGGTGTAGTGCTGGGAGACAGTGAAGCCTGGATGCTTCTGCATACTTCTCCACATCCTTGGGTGGCCATCCCCATAGGGCACAAAGGGCTGATGAGGGGAAGTTGCAGAAAGTGCAGATGTCTGTGAGCAGGGCAGCTGGGCAAGTGGAGGGAAGAAATAAGGCACTGTACACCACTGACTCCCCACCTAGCATGCCTTCAGCAAGTGTTTTCTGAACATCCACTACATTCTAGGCACTGTGTGAGTTCCACGGGATATAGTGATAAATTAGATAAAGTCCATGAGCTCTTAGAACTTATTTTTGCAGGGAGCACAGCCAATCAAACAGTCAACCACAGAGTGGTATAATAAGTGCCAGGAGAGGGGCAGCACAGGGCGCGTGGGCCACACAGGAGGGGCTCCTCACTCATAGTAGGGGTTGGGGAATACTTCTGGGAAGACTTCCTGGAAGATGTAAGTCTAAGTTGAAACCTTGCGTAGGAGGAGTCAGCAAGAAGAGAAGTGTGGAGTGTGAAGAAGAACGGAAAGGGGAGGAAACGTGCCAGGCAGGGGGAAATGTAATAGGGAAGGGCTCTGAAAAGAGAAGGATGATTTGTCTGGAGAGCACATTGGTTGGCTGGGCAACCGTAAGGAGAAGACAGGTCAGGGGAGTGAAGCTGGAGAGGGAGGCAGGGATGCCTGGGGATAAGGGGCTTGTTTGTGTGCCTGTCTGCAGTATTACAGTCCTTGCCAAAATCCTGTGTCTGTGGAGCCAGCCGTGCTGTGTAGAACAGAACAAGAACTGCAGGATTCGCAAGGTGCTGAAAGGCCTTGTCAGTTTAGATCTCCCTCTGTCCTGCCCAGGCTGGGCAGGCGGGGCACTTCAGGTGAGGCCCTTTGGCCAGAACAATGTGGCTTGGCCCGTTTACTAGAAAGTGGGCAGGAGAAGCTCAGTCTGTGTCCTTGGGTTCTAGACCATAAAACTACCCAGTTGCTCCACCTGCAATGGGCAACTTTGGGCAAATCACTTTGGCTCTCTGAGCTACCATTTCAGCATCTGTGAAATCATGGGCCACACTAGGTGAGCTCTGCTTAGGTGTCTTCCAGATCTAACACCATGACTTGAAGAGACAATTCCCAAATGTAGGTCCAGTTGGTGCCTGACTCCTGAGGCTAAACTCTGAGCATCAGTGACAGTTCAAGGCCTCGGGTTTCTGGACCAACTCTCTCCTCCATTTGTATTTTGAATATTGACTTACCCGCTGCTTATCTGGATCCACAAAGCGGATCCCAAAATAATCTTTTTCAAGTAGGTTCAGGTGGTGGCAAAGAAGGTCAAACAGGTACTGGCCTTTGGCATCTCTCTGCAAAGAAAGCAAGCTCCATTGAGAAATGAGAGGGCTTCCTCAGTGTGACTTTGACAGTCATTAAAAATCATTTATAAGTTGCATGAGGATACAAAAGGGGCACATGTCTATAACTGCGTCCTCCACATTGTGATGTATTAGGCAGTGTCTGGGATTCCAGGTCTTTAAGAGAGAGCCCAAGACCCTTCCCTCCACAAAGATGTCAGCCAGGACAGAGCAGGGTAGGGCAAACCCAGTTTTGAGCTCTAATGCACAGTTTTCCTAAACTAGTGGGAGAAGGGATGTCAGTGTGGAATCTGCTGAGTCCAGCTGGCTCTGCCTCTGCCTCTAAGGTTTGTCGTGAGGCCACCCACTTCTCTTCATCCCTGTTTCCAGCCCTGTGGTCAAGTCACCACCATCTCTCAACCGGACCACAACCAGAGCTTTCTAACTGGTTCTCTGCTTCTGCTTTTGTCCTCTCTCCATACAGCAACCAAAGTGGCCAAATTTAGACATAAGGTCTTTTTAGCTCAATAAGTAATTCAGGCACATAGTGAGATACTCAAAAACACGGAAGGATTTACTACAAATAATAAGTCTCCCTTTTCCCCAAGCCCTTGTGCCTCAGTTGCCCGCCTTGGAAGCTACCAGTCCTCTTATATATTCTTAGTGTGGCATCTTAGGCATGGGCAAGCCTATCTGTACATACATCTCCTCTTTTTAAACTACATCGGCAGCATATTTTATGCTGTACTGCTTTCTTTTTTTGTCTAATTAGGGTGTCTTGCAATTCCTTCTATAGCAGTATGTACAGATATGCCTCACAGTTTGTAACTGCTGCATACCACTGGAATGGACCTAAATTTCTTTTCCTGGCTCCATGCTGATGAATTTGTTTCCAATCTGCTATTATAAACAATGCACCAGTAAGTACACAGGGATCTTTAATTATGTCACTGCTCCTGATTGATCCTTACTCTCAGAATAAAATCCAAACTCTAATCTTGGCCTCCAAGGACCTACATGACCTGGCTCCTGCCCCTCTCTGAACTCACCCCAAATCATTCTCCCCACTGCTCTGGCCATGGCCTCTCCGTCCCTGAAGGCTTCAAGGCTTTTCTGCCTCTGCATTGTTGTATTCCCTCTGCCTGGACTGCCCTTCCTCCAGCTCTTCCCATGGCCACTCCTTCTTTCCTTGAGGTCTCAGTTCAGGTCCTCTCTGTGCAGAGGTCTTTCCCCTACAGGATGGCCCTCCCTGTCACTATATCATTTATCCAGTTTATTTCCTTCATAGCACTTACAGCAATCTTTAATTATCTTACTGATTTGTTTACTTGTTTATTTATTGTCTGCTCCTTTCTAGACTACCGTATTATGAGGGCAGGAGCCTCCCACTGAGCTTAGCACAGGGTCTGGCATATGGTAACTAGGTCCTTAACAATTATTTGCTGAATAAATGCATGACTGAATAAACAGAATGTAGAGCATTGACATTCCTTCACAAAATGTGAGGAAATTACTTTTCAACCCATAACCTCTCCTTCAGGGACCTGCCAGGATGAGCTGGAAGGAGAATGACTTGCAGAAAACCATCAGAACATCTGGAGCTCTGCAAGACATCATGCTCTGGGCCTGTCCCTGCTGGTCTCTGCAGCTCAACTGAGGTGATCATCTCTGGTGGGTCTGGGCAAATTCTGCCTCCAACTCGAGGTTGTGTTATAAGATCCAAGGTCTCTCACCCATGCCAAGGCCCAAGGCCATGGGTAACGGAAGGGCTGGCCCTGCTCCAACGATGGGCAGATCTTTAGACTTCCACAGAAGGTTTGTACCTCACCTCTTCCCTTTCTGCTGGCTCATTCTATACTTTCCAAGGAGAACTAGGACAGGATATCAAATCTCTCAGCAAATATCTTAAGAAGCTTGTCCATGCGGGCTTGAAAGGGCAGTAAGTAGACAGCTCAACAAAGGAGGGTGGCGCCATGTGGGTACCTCCCCCTCTTCTGCTCGCACCACACTCCCTCCCATAACATATTCCCAAGGCAGTGGGCTCCACCCTTACAGCCCTTGGTCTCCCACTAGAAGGAGCTACTCTCAGGACAGAGACTGGTTATGAATCACACTGGGACTTCTGGGCAGTGGGCCACAAACCAGGTCTTTCAAAAGACTCCATCAGCAACTGTATTTTGGGCAGGGGCTGTCAACTATTTCCTTACTGATGTCCCAGAGTGTGGGAGGAGCTTAAGCTCATTTTAAAAGTACTTCTGGGAGCAGACAAAATATGTTAAACTCTATCTCATGACATGTCCTATGCTATTCTCTCTCTCAGAGCAACTGGAGTATTAAGAGACAATTGATTACTGTGAATATTTTTCTCTACAAATTTTAATTTGCACCACGCTGGTTACTACAGTGTAATTAGCTGGGGTGAGTTTTAATGGCTGAAGCCTTTCACTTTCACACATACAACAACCATATTAGCAGGAGCTTGGGGTGGCCATGGGGAAGATGTGCTTCTGTGATAGAAATCACATGGGTTTTTAGAGAACACATTTTCCATAAAAACAACTCATTCTCTGTGTATTTATTATATCACTTCTAAGCTTCTAATAAAGAGCCTGTTCTATTTAGGAAAAAAGCAACTCATTCTTGTGGGCCAGCAGCTCAAATGCACTTGCAGGGCTCTTAACTGGTAAAACCTGGTAGATACAGTTTCAGAGTTTTCCTGCTTTGCTGGAAGAAAAAGGAAGCATGGCTTTTCTTTTCAGATAGCTATGAAAAAATCATATCCCATTATACACGCCCTGCATCAGTAAGATAAAGATCTTTTTCTTGCTATTTCTCAGCATCTGGTGCAAGCCCTGTGTCCCCTGTGAAGTCAGTGTTCCCTCAGGCTCCCACTGGGCAGTGGAGGATGCACGGGTTTGAGCTCCAAGGCTCAAACTAACTAACCAAGAGAATCATCTTTCTTCGCTGTTTCTCCAAGGCTGGAGGGTGGGAAGGGATTGGGGCAGAGGTGGGAGCAGCATTCATGAAGTTTGTTTCCGGTCGAAGATACAAAGGCAGAATCAACTGTGAGCACTGTGGTGGCACTTTCCACAGAAGGTTGCAACCTGCTCTTCTTGGAGCCTGGGGTTGGTGGAGTGGCCTGAGGCAGGCGTTGGAGAAGGAGTCACGTCCAGCTGAACCACATGGTGGGCGGCCTACAATGAGCCACTGGCAGGGGCAAGAGTGTAGGAATTTTAAACTCCCTGGTTTTGGGGTCCCCTTGCACTTTCAGATGCCTACTGTGTCCTAGGGTTTCCACTCAATGGTCTCCCTGTCCTACCTATGTCTGGGGCTTTCTAGAATATTCTGTGGCAGCCAGTCTTCTGTGGGATGGCAAAGCCCAGTGTGTTCTGTCCTCCCCACTGCCTGCAGCTGCCCTGGCACTGTGGCCAAGCTAGGTGATGTGATGTGTGCCGGGTGTTGTCCCACTGAAGACACTGGGGGATCAGGCCCTCATGCTGACAGGTGATGACTGCTGAGTCACACAGTCAGGGCACCAAGGCTCAGGCTGTTTGTCTTCAGGTTCAGTGAGCTGAGACAGAGCACCCATATCTGGCTACACTTCTCAAGGTATTCTCTTCCCAAAGATATTACTGGATCAAAACAACATACTAAACAACTATTTAAAAATAAATTTGTATTTTATGAACCGCAATAGTACCTACACATATTTGGAAGTAACAGTGTAGATCCGTGCAGCCCATTCCCTCTCTCTGGTGCAGAGTGAGTCATGAGCCCCTCAGAATCACTCTGCAACTCTGGGGCTGGGGCAACCACGTTCCTGTTCCTCTCCAGAGCACTGGGCTCTGGGTGCCTCTGATTCGTCTGTTCTTTAGGGACACGACTGAGGCAGAAGCAGTAAGCAAGCTTGGGTCAGTGACCTATTCAAGGTTAATTGCATTTTCTGCCTCATAATCAAAACCCTTGGGCAGGAGAGCAGCTTATTTTAACCCATCATGGGGTCAATCCCAGGGGCTCTGGCCTGAGGTATTGCTGGCAGAGGGGTTAACATGTAGAAAGCCCCCCACTCATTAGGCCTCTCCTCATCTAATCAGGCTTACCTGTGAGGCAGGCAGATTTTAAGGGCAAACTGCGAATCTTGAAGAGGACAAGAGCTATCACAACTTTCTCAGATACTGGGCCACCTGCTCTTAAAGGGAGTTGGCCATGGTTTTACAGGCCCATAGAAAGACAGATGGGAGATGGAGGGTGGGCACCTGCCATCCAAAAGCACAGGGGTCCAGGGTGGAAAAAGGCCATATCAAGATGTGAGTGCCCAGAGGAGAGGGCAAGAGCTGAACAAGTCATCCTCAGGCACCTGGCATCTCAGCCTCTATTCTAACTTAAGTTTCTTGTAGGCTGAAGACTCCTTTGATTCCTTTACAGAGTCCTCCGGAGGCACGTGTGTGCCGAGGGCTGCTACATGCTGTGGGGTAAAAGCACTTTAATGTCACAGAGGACCAGCCACATTAAGTCCTCTTCTCAGGGCCATGGCATGAGTAAGCTGAGCTGAAAAGTGAATCAATCAGAGGGGTGCAGTCCTGCCGCTGTCTTTTCACTCCACACCCACCTAGCTTTCAGAGGCTGAGGGAGGGTGGGAGGGACAAGTGGTAACAGCAGGGCCCCAGATTTCATAATCTCAGCACCTTCCACACTAATTTACATTTTCTTTGAAGTGAGGGAACCCTTGCCAAGCTCCTGGCCCAGGAGTCCACTTTTCTTCTTTAGTTCTCAACCAACAAAATCTGTCTAGGAACTGCTGAGGCTGCTGATAGAAAGGCAGCCAGCTCACTTTGGGAGATGGAGCAGCTAGCTCCAGGGAGGAAGGCAGCCATACCCCCTGCGTAGCAGGTCACCCCAGATGCAGCAGTCACAGCTGGTCCTGCCCAGGCACGTGCGCTGCTTCTTACTCTCAGGGGACACAAGTCCAGAACTCGGCAGTTTGGCTGGGAAGGCCTGGGCCCATGCAGGCACTTGGTATCCAGACTACAGAGCCAGGAGGCTGTACGGGGTGGCCACATGGCTCATAGGGGAGAGGCCAGGCCCGAGTGGAGGGAAGTCAGAGTTCAGAGGGGCAGAGAAGTGGTCCTTATCCAGACTCCAGTAGCTACTGGCCTCACCTAATCCTTACTACATGCAGCAACCTCTTGCCCTGATACCCCCATTCTGCATGCAACTTGAGGGAGTTAGGGTAATTTTCATGATGCAAATGAGTATCTGTAGGTTCAGATGCCAGGCATGGTGCCCCTGCGAGCCCCGAAGGCAGTCCTTGCTCTAGTCAGACCCATGGCTTGGCTCATTGCCACATGGTATGGCCTGCAGAAAATGTGTACATGGGGCGGGGAAAGCACATTCGGTCTGGAACGTGTAGGTCACAGTGCACAAGAAAATGTCATGGGAGGGAGGGTTAAGTGTTCTGTCAGCACTGACGGCCCAAACCAGACTCAACAAGAACAATCAAGACCCTCTGTGCAGAACCTTCAAGCCTGCTCTTGTTCAGCTTGAAAGAGCAGGGCTAATGGGGAGCTAGACTTATTGAGATATCAATGATGATGCTTCAAGAGCCAAGACGTCCTCATTCCCAAGGGGATTCCTTGTACCCAGTGAAGTTTCTGGAAAGAAAAAAAAACACAACTCAAGCTGGATCTGAAGAAAAGCAAACTCGTCTATCTTTCCGATGGTGAGGCCACTTGTACAGTAAGGTGACTCTTAGAATGATCACTATTTCTTGCTATTGATTGAATAAGTTTTGATTGTATTTTTCTAGCCACTGCTGAGTAGCTAAGTGGACTATTCATGTCACAACTGCAGAACTACTGAAAACTCAGCCAGGCTTGTTAAAAAAAAACTCAGTGTTTTGTATTTATTTGTGTGAAGCTCATACTCTCACCCTCTTACACACACCAACACACATATACACACACACCCTCTCACTTAGTCATGCCTCTTGTACAATGTGAAGATAACTTTGCTTCAGATACCCTGGAAAGAAAAGTCCAGTGCGGGGGCAGACTTCTATTCCCCAAATGTAAAGACAATTTGACAATTTATTTTCTTGCCTTTTATTTTCTTTTGCGAAGGGCAAAGGAACATGCTATTTGGCAAATCCGGAGCTGTCTGCAGGGAGTGGCCTGCGTGCCCAGGTCAGGAGGAAGACAGCGAGCTCGGCGTCCTCCCCAGTTCTCAGAGCCCTGCAGGGACGCCCCTGGTCTCCCTCCGCCTCAGCAGAAAGCGCTCCACTCGCCAGGACCAGTGGATGTGACGGATTCTGAGAGGCGCATGCCCGTTAGTGAATGAGGCCAGCGTTCGTGAGTCCTGGCGCAGTCTCCTTTTCGGCTATCCTACTGGGTCACTCATGTTCCCTTAACGCTGAGGGGAAGGCAAAGGGAGTAGAGGTGGGAAGGTGAAGGCCTTGAGGAGGAGCACTAGGCTCGGAGTCAAGGCCCTGCTCTGCTGCCCCACAGCTGTGACCTCAGATCCATTCCTGAATCTCCCTGAGCTTCAGCTTCCTTATGTATAAAAAAGGTTAATACTACAACTTTCAAAAGATTATTGTAAGGCTCCAATAAGAGACATAATATACATAAAAACACTGTGTATTTTTCCTACCAACTTACTCTGCCTCCTGTGACCTCCTCTTCCCTTAGGCTGAATAGCCTCGAACATGACAAGATCTCAGCAATGAGCCTGGGCACCCAGTGAGCAGAAGCCGGTCCTCTCTGGACTGGAACCCTCAGTGGGGTGTTGGCTACATGCCCACCTGTGCAGTGTCCTCAAGCTTATGGGGATGGCCACCATTTGGGGAATCTGCCCCACTGGGCTCTCAGGGCACACATTTGCATCTCTTCCATACCCCAAGGCTATTTTTCCCAGACTAGGTCAGAAGAGTAGAAAATATCAAATATATGCTATCAACCCAAACTCCTCAGGGTTCTGGCAGCATCTACTCAGTGCCACGGAGACGAAGGCAGAGATTCCTATGATACGCTGCTGACATGCTCCTAACACTGAGCAAGGAGGAACCAAGGGGGTGGGGAATGAGCTGTGACTCAATTCCAACAAACACTATGTCTTTTAATGCCTTGGAATTAATTAGAAGAAAAAGGGAAGAAGCATTTGGCTAAATGTATTTCATTAAATTAACCCAGAGCCTCGATCTCTTTCAATAAGTAGAATTGGTCCTTTCTGGTGTTAAAGCTACCGGAGCTAACTGCGGTCTCAGACTCTCCCCCGGAGGCCTCAGGTGACTGCTGTCCCGCTGGGAGGTAAAGGAGAAGGATGGACAAGTAGAGCCCACAACTCTCTGATCGGAGCCCCACGTTCCCTGAGCTCACCCAGGCACACGGAGCCACAGGCATCCCTATCTCGGGCCAGCCAGGTCACTGCCATCACTTCTCCTGAGAAGGACAGCCAGGGCTTCCCTTGGAAGGTCCCTCACCAGGCAGACAGAACTCTGAGGCAGGGGTCCAGGGTCCGACTCCTGGTCTGTGGTCCCACTGATGGTACAAAGCCACATTTAGGATGGCCCCTCTTTCCAGCACTGAGTGGAAGGAACCCCACTGCAACAAGAAAACTGAGTCCCAGGAGAGGAGTGAGACAGCTGGGGCCAGAGCCAAGCAGATGGTGGACAAATGGCTCGCTGCACACGTGCTGAGGCCTGGGGAAGCAACAGGACAAACCCCAGCCTCCCAGCGTGGCTGCCCCAGTGGTGGAGGAGGCTGGAGCAGGGAGGCCAGGGAGGAGAAGGAGTGCTAGCTCACTGGAAAGTCATTGCCTTAATATGTAACAGATTAGAACAATACCATGTTCTGGACCAGCACTTCTCAAATTTGAGCCTGCATCAGAATCACCTGGAAAATTGTTAACAACACAGAATGCTGGGTGCCTCTCCTAGAGTTTGGGTTCAGTGGGCCTGGGTGGGGCCTGGTGATTTGAATTTCTAACAGGTTCTCAGGTGAGGCTGGTGCTGATGGTCTGGGGACCACTGGACAAGATCAGCTCTTTGGCACCTGCTGGTCACTAGCAGCTCTGCAAGCAAAGATTGTGGGGCCAAGGGGGAGAAAAAGGGGGCGTGTAAACTCGCCAAGACCTGCTCTGG